TTTAACAAATAGTTTTAACTTTGTGTGAGGTGGGAGCAACATAAATGACTTAGTCATTTAATATTGAGATGTCAGATATATCCTAAGAATATGAACTTTAATGTGAGGTAAGGGAGATAGAGTATAATGCTCACAAGAAGTTGCCTGTAAATTATATATCATAATTTTCATGCTTAGAAATTTTTAAACATTTATTATACTTTAAGTTCTGGTGTACATGTACAGAACATGCAAGTTTGTTACATAGGTATAGACGTTTCATGGTGGTTTGTTGCATCCATCACCCTGTCACCTACATTAGGTATTTCTCCCAGTGCTAGCCAACCCTAATCCCTTCACCACTGCTATCCCTCCTCAGCCCCCCACCCTGCACAGGCCCTGGTGTGTGATGTACCCCTCCCTCTGTCCATGTGTTCATTGTTCAACACCCACTTGTGAGTAAGAACATGATAGGGAAAATGTGGTACATATACACCATGGAATATTACGCAGCCATCAAAAACGATGAGTTCACGTCCTTTGTAGGGACATAGATGAACCTGGAAACCATCATTCTCAGCAAACTGACACAAGAGCAGAAAATCAAACACCGTATATTCTCACTCATAGGTGGGTGTTGAACAATGAGAACACATGGACACAGGGAGGGGAGCACTACACACTGGGGTCCATTGGGGGGAAATGGGGGAGGGGCGGCGGGGTGGGGAGGTGGGAAGAGATAGCATGGGGAGAAATGACAGATACAGGTGAGGGGACGGAAGGCAGCAAACCACACTGCCATGTGTGTACCTATGCAACAATCTTGCATGTTCATCACATGTACCCCAAAACCTAAAATGCAATAAAAAAAAAAAGAACATGTGGTGTTTGTTTTTCTGTTCTTGTGTTAATTTGCTGAGAATGATGGTTTCCAGCTTCATCCATGTCCCTGCAAAGGACATAAACTCATCCTTTTTTATGGCTGCATAGTATTCCATAGTGTATATGTGCCACATTTTCTTTATCCAGTCTACAATATTATTTGTTTAACATACTATTAACAGTATTAGTGATATTGTATTAGTGTTGGGCACCAAGGCCTAGTTGCTAAAAAGTGTCTAACATTGTCAAGGGAAGGCCTTTTTCTGGAAGCAGCGAAAGAGACAAGGTGAATTCAAGGGCAGATGTGCCAATGTGGCTACAGATTTTGTTACAGGTGCTTTCTCTGGAGTTGGAATCTTCCCTGACAAGGTGAATCTCAGTATCTCCAACAGAGCTGTGCCACTCCTGGCTTGGCCCTGATAGACCAATTTGGAGAGAAAATAAATTTGAGCAGAAAAGAACATGCAAGACTTGCTCATCACTCCAGCCATTTCCATATTACATCCAGATGCTAGTGTTTGTAAATTACTTAGCTTGATTTCAAGAGATAGATTATATGGGCAAAGACATATAATGAGAGGATATTAAAAGCCTGATATTAATGACATTGGATGCACCAATTGAAAAACAGCAATGTAACACTTCTGAAATAATGGTGTCTTTGAAAGATGGGGAACGTACTAGTCAGGTGGCTGAGAAAGGATGTGTTTCTGTGGGAAGCAGTAATAAAGTTTACACATATTTTGTTTTGTTAGTTTAATTTTTAAAATGAGATCTGGAAATGGAAGTTAAAAACAGTGAATTGGTTAGCCTTTATAAAATTACACTGATAGGAAAGAAGAAAATGTTACTAAGCAAACAGGAGAAACAACTATAAAATACTTTGACATGAGTAAAGAGGAAGACTGCTAGTAGAGAGCATAAAGAGCAGTAATTGGGAAGATAAAACTTAAGGAATTATCCAACAATACCAAGGAAATACATGAAAGTGAGAAAAAATACGATAAATGAGAATACTGGCTATCAGATTTCAAGCCAATAGTCAGTGCCTGTAAAAAAGAGAGAACAAAATTAGCGGGGCATGGTGGCCTGTACCTGTAATTCCAGCTACTTGGGAGGCAGAGACAGGAAAATTGCCCTAACCTGGGAGGTGGAGGTTTCAGTAAGCTGAGATAGTGCTACCGCACTCTAGCCTGGGAAACAGAGTGAGACTCTGTCTCAAAAAAAGAGAGAGAAAGAACAAATGGGAGAGACTAGGGACACAGAGAAAGAAAGGAAGAAAAGTTTTGCGATGATGAAAGTCTATTAAATATAATTGTTAATTTTGCCTAAACCTATCTGGAGCATTTGAAGCATACACTTTGGCTCTGTGTCCAACTCCCCAAATCTCATTTAGTAATCCCTATAACCCCCACATGTTGAGGGAGGGACCCGGTAGGAGGTGATTGGGGGCAGCTTCCCCCATACTGTTGTCATGACAGATCTGATGGTTTTGAAAGTGTTTGACAGTTCCTTCTTCACACACACACTCTTGCTGTTCCACCATGTAAGATGTTCTTGCTTCCTCTTTCACCATGATTGTAAGTTTCCTGAGGCCTCCTCAGCCACATGGAACTCTGAGTCAGTTAAATCTCCTTTCTCTATAAATTACCCAGTTTCAGGTGGTATTCTTTACAGCACTGTGAAAATGGACTAATACAAAATGTTTGTTCTCTACTTCTTTGTATCAGCTGTCTATTGCTGCTGCATAACAAATATCTCTAAACCATAGCAACTTAAAACACGTATTAATTATAATACAGTTTCTGTAGGTGTGAATCTGGACAAAATGTAGCTGTATCCTCTACTTCAGGGTGTCTCACAAGGCTGCAGTCAAGATTCAACTGGGAAACAATCTACTTCCAAGCTTACTCAGTAGTTGTTGGCAGATGTCAATTCCTTGAGGGTTGTTGAACTCGGGGGGGGGGCCTCCTCTTACTGGCTGTTGGCAAGAGGCCACCATCAATTTTTCACCACATAGTAGTCATTACTTCCAATGTGAGTAATAAAATATTAATAATCCTCTCCATATTCTCAGTTTGCAACCAACTAAAGTTTGCTTGCTTTTTCATGCATACTTCATTATTTTATAAAAAGCTAAAAGTATTCCCAAAGCCCATATAAAAGCAGTAATTTGGGGAGGTGTAATAAGTATCTAGACAATACTATGTTATCTCAGAGTAACTGGATAAAAATATAATTTAACCTAATAATTTCATTGTTCTAAAAATGCAGAGAAGGCAAAATGACTAGTGATTAAAAAAGCACGCTTGGTGGCATATCTGAGGTGGTTAAATGTCAAATAGGTGGAATTCTCATAAAGTTAGAAAGTTGCAGATGCAAGTGTGGAGACAGTATTGTGAAATCAAAGTCTGTTCTAAACTACTCTGCAGTTCAGTTCAAAGGGAAAGTTTGTAGGACTTGGGTTCAAAGTCCTATGATAAAATAATGGTTTCTCTGTCATTGTATTGCAGTTATTTCTCTTCATATAAGAATTATGATATGCCTACATCGGGGACCTACTGACATCATTTAGGAACTCACGGGAATGTTCATATGCCACTGCTTGATAGTGTATGGTTTATTTTTGCTTAGGTTGTGGTACTTGGCTAGTTGGAGAATCATAGGTCTAAGATTTTCATTCCATCAGTATAAAAACTGATGAGGCGAATCTGTTACTGGGGACAGGTATTAAAATTTAAAAAGCAAGCAAAAAGTTTTTGTGAATTGGTCACAAGTACATAATAGCTTTCCAGGAAATAGAGATTTATTTCTGGTTCAGAAGAGGGTCTTCCAAAATCTCACAAGGCAGTTAAAGCTATACATTTTAAGTTGTTCGCAAATGCCACATGGAAAGAAAGGCTCTAACCTTGACAGTGATTTGAACAGTGGACCCTGCATTTCCTGAGGATTGAGCTTCACCTTTGAGGCCAGAGTGAGCTCATCTAGAACCTCATACTGCAAGGGTAAATGAACCATAAAGTTCCTCATGAAGAGACAGGCCTGTGGGGACCAGTTAAGTGATGGAAATGGGTGAAGCAGAAACATCCAAGAAAAACTGTACCTATGATGTTAAACTAAAGCATGTTCCTTGATTACAGAAACAGCTACTTTAATAGGTAAGATGTTCTCTGTTTAAAGTGAGAGAAAATTTAACTCAAAATGGCTTAAACAACAAGGAAAATTAATGGCTCTTATAACAAGGAGTACTAAGAAAGTGTGAGGTAACTCCAGCAGTCATTAATCTACCAGATCAATGACATCACTGAAAGGTCAGGTTTTATTCTTTTCATCTTTCTGCTGTATCTTCTTCAGACTTCATAATCGCAGTGTGGAGTGCAGCAGTACCAGATAGACTATTCAGATGCCCATATCCAGAAAAAGGGATGAGGAAATATTTTCCAGCAATGTTTTGAAATAACTCTTTTCTCATCTTACTGGGAAAAAAGGGGGAGGATTATAAAATCATCTCCAAGGCAACCACTAGTACGGGAAAATGAGGTTATTATAATTGACTTAAATGGATAGGGTTTTAACCACAAGATGGTTAGGATATTCTTTTCTATAAGTGAGCAGGTGAACAAAATTGGGATTCTAAAAGCCAGGAAGAAGGGGGTTATTTTGCTGGCAACCCATAGTGTTTGCTACATTACCCATCAACTAAGCTGATGGTTGATATAGGCAATGTGCTTCTATTGTTGAAAAAGAGTTGGATTACTTTTTGATTACATCTGACAAAGCTGGGAATCTGGATGTTTATGCAAGATCTCTCAATTTGTAAATATTAGCAGTACATTCAAAACATTTAAAAGTACTGTGTGTCCAGTATCATTCAGACCAAATAAAATACATTTGCATTCCAAACATGTCCTGCAGCTTACCAGTTTGAAACTTCTGGTTTATTTTATTAATTTAACTAAAATTTTCTCAATTTAGAAAGTGAACACCACTTTAACCATGCCAGTAATTACACAAATATATATGCTAAAACATTTTTTAATTCAAAGTTGTACTCAAGTGTAGGAAACTTCAGATGATATAGCCAATAATGATTTCAGAAGCTAATGTAAGAAAGAAATGCACAACACACAATGTTTACATCATTTTCTTAATTGAGATTCTAATTTGACAAGTTAATGGTTAAAATGATTGGGATGTTACTACTCATTTAATAATTGATGTAGAATTTTGTTCTCATTCCTCCAAGATTAGTGTGATGTATTTTGTTTTGTTTTCATTAGAGAATGAATCAATTCCTATTAAAGATTTTAACTTCAGAGATATTTCTTTACAATCATCTTCCTTCTTATAAGTGTGGATAATTGAAATTTTAAATTCAGGCAAAGGTTCTCAGGCATATTTCGCTCTTGAAAATTTTCTTCGGTCTCTTCAAAGTATAACATGAATCAAAAAATGTTAGCCTCCTTGAGTCAAGAGCAATACTAATGCGAAATAAGTATGTGTCTCTGTCATTTAGATTTTCCACTTTTCCAAGTTGATAATTTAGCTGTGAGTTCTTGCTAGTTGTTACTTCATGCTTTTGGATTTGAGCCCTAAAAAAGATAGAACTTTTAAATCATCAACTTCCTCCAAAAATTTAGATATTCTCTATTATGAAACTTTGAACTATGAAGAAATTATGCAAAGTCACAATTTCTATTTCATAGGTTATTTGAGCAAAAATGAAGAAGTGGAAATGCAAGAGGATAGGGAGTGAGAAAAACACCACACTAAGATGTAAATATTTATCTGGCAATTAGCATAATATGGAGAAGGTAGGGAACCAAGAGGAGAGTTACAGAATACTATACTTATTATTCTATGGGAGATTTCTTCTCATATTCATCCTTGGGGAATATTTCTGAGAAAATAAATAATATAGGCGTCTACATAGCTTTCTGGCAGAGACCCTTCTAATTTCCCTCTTTTTAATTATCGGCCATACTCAGAAGTAAGACGTTAATGTCAGCTCATCTCCAAATCATTCAGATACTTTTATTTGTAAATTTCTTCTAAAAAGACATGGTGACTCTTTTCTCCTTGATAGTAGGAAATTATAATACAAGAATATAATAGTTTGTCTATACATCTCTTACCTTTGGTGTAGACATTGGACTATCCTTGAAAACAGTAGAGGGAAGTGCTTTTGTGTCTTTATGCTACATTGATTATAAAAACAATGGCATGTCATATGTCATTAGAATGCTATGCTTGTCCCATCTTAGCTATAGTTATTTCTTCAATGAAATTATTCCTAACCTCTTTTTCACTCATTTAAATTCTGCCCAACTTTCAGGGTCCAGTTCAAATCCCAACTTTCAGCCAATGAATATTCATCCTACTTTAGCTACTCTGAACCTGTTGACTTTCTCCTCACCATATTTTTCTTGTTAGTGTCATTCATCTTGGGTGATACTACAAATAATTAAGGGCTCCGTTTTTTTGTTTGTTTGTTTGTTTGTTTTGTTTTGTTTTGTTTTGTTTTGTTTTGTTTTGTTTTTGAGGCAGAGTCTCACTCCTGTTGCCCAGGCTGGCATGCAGTGGCACAATCTCAGCTCGCCACAACCTCCACGTCCTGGGTTCAAATGATTCTCCTGCCTCAGCCTCCCGAGTAGCAGGGATTACAGGCATATACCACCACACCTGGGTAATTTTTTATTTTTAGTAGAGACAGGGTTTCCTCATGTTGGTCAAGCTGGTCTCGAACTCCTGACCTCAGGTGATCTGCCAGCCTCAGCCTCCTAAAGTGCTGGGGTTTCAGGCATGAGCCACCATGCCCAGCCTAAGGGCTCCATTTTTATATCACTTGCTTTCTCACTAAAATGTGAAATTTTTTGGAAAAAAAAGGAACTGAAATTTAGGTCTTGCTGTTTTACCCACAGCATAATGCCAAGCACAAGAAACATACTCGGGAGCCTTTTAATGACGGAATGTCCTGTGCTTCTTACTTCATGAGCACCTGATTTTTATCACAGATTTGCCTCTATCTGACCTCTTTTTCATACCCTACCTCCTACAGAAAACTGACTAATAATAGGTCTTATTCTATCTACAATATATATGTAAAGTTAATTATCACATAATAAAATTTTATCTCCTCTTAAATGTCTAGAAATGAATCTTTGAAGGAGCCATTTACCTCACCCAGCAGACCTATTTATCATTTCTCAATAATTATGTAACAGTAACACTATTTTTTATAATAAAAAATCAATACCTATACTAATTTATACATAGTAAGCAGGCCTTCCTTTTTTACATATCCCTGGGGCAAATGTGCTATGGTATCTCAAGTTAACCTCAAAAGCACACATCCTGATAAATAACCCATGGATTTGCAGACAATACTTACAATAAGCAGAAGAGATACTTAAAAAATCACCAGTGACCATCTGATACTTACAAGGAAAGAAGATGATGATATAGGTGCAGGAATCGGTGGTGGTGGAAAATCTGGCTTTGTAATTAGCTAAGAAAAGGATAAAAAATTTAAATTCAAAGAGAGGGTCCTGAAAATAGGTGTGCCTAAAGAAAAGGCTTAAATCATTTCCAGAAATGGATAAGCCATGACCCTACCCATGAGAACATTGTAAACGTATGCATTCACTTGCTTTCATTTAGTTGCACACACACAATTGAGACAGAAGTCCAATGCCAACAGATATGTGATAAAGATGATTACTGTAAACCATATGTTTGCATCACCCCACAATTTCATATGTTGAAAACCTAATCCCCAGAATGATGGTATTTGGAGGTAGGGCCTTTTGGAAGTAATGAGGTCATGAGGGTGCAGCTCTCATAATATGATTAATGCCCTCATGAGAAGAGGCATAAGAGAGATGTTCTCTGCTATGTGAGGATACAATGAAAAGGCAGCTGTCTACAAGTCAGAAGGCAGCCTCACCAAACACTGGCTCTGCCAGCTCCTTGAGCTTGGACTTCCCAGTCTCCAGAATATGAGAATTAAATATCCATTATTTAAGTCACCCAGACTATGCTAATTTAGTTACAGCAGCCGAGCCAATGAAAACAGCAGTGGTACCCTATTAAATAGGTTGGTTCTCTTCTTGTCCTAAGTTGGCATCGAGTAACAGACATGTTCACATTTTATATTTTCAAGTTTTGCAGAAGAATCTGTATTTTATATTAATATTCACATAGATTTCACTATTGTCCTGAAGAAATAATGCAGCATTGTTGGCTAAGACTTTCACTGATATTTCCTGGAGATTGAACTAGGGTGACATTTAAGAGAAGTTGCTAACTCACAAAAGATGCTGGGGGCTCATTGCCTTCTAATGGCAGATCATACACATGGGCCTTCATCCGACTCATCTGAAAAGAAGAATGAATATTTCAAAATGAGCCATTAGTTTCACAGGCACAGTTTTTAAGTAAGCAGTCTTTTAAGGCATGGAAGCTTGGAACGAACTCTGACACAGTTAGAGTCACAGTGGTCCAGCTGGTATATCCTACAGAAATATTTCCCAGAGCGGTAATGAAAAGTTTTCATCAGTAAATTATAACCGGTGTTATTAACATTAACCAACTTCGGCTAAAATCTTTATATTTACAGGACATGAGTAGGACGTTAGGGCTATACATATTATATGTGTTACAGACATACATATTTTTGTATCTACCAGGCAATTTGCAAAGAAATAACCTAGAATCAGAGAGCGAGAGGGAATGTGTGTGTGAGAGAGACAGACAGAGACAAAGACAGACAGATATCTTTCTGCCTTCTTTGTTCTCTTTATTCTGTTTGCATGTCATGAACCCCAGCAAAGTAGCCTCTGCATTTTAGGGACTCTGTTTTGCATTTAACAAAAGGCAAAGGAGACTTTTCTGAATGTGTAATTGCAAAATGCTTCTGGGTAGAAATGATAGGTAGGTGGTCTAAGAGAGTGAGAGAAACACAAAATGGGGCCATGGTAATCACAGTCCAAACTATAATTCACCTCTTGAGGTTGGACAGCCTTTACCGTCTGGGGTTTCCTCTTCTGTTTGTGTGATCTGGTCCCAGTGGTAGATAGTGGCCTGTAATAGACAAACACATTATGTCAATTGACTTAGCAGCTCCTTCAGCATGACAGGGAAACTCTGTACAAGATTCCCAGCTGTCTTTTCCCATTGTGTCCTTCTTGTCTTTTATCTGCTCCCTGGGTCACTTTTCAGCTTTTACTTCCCTGTCAGCCTCGTTCATTGTCTTGTAATTCATAATCGGTACATGAAATTTTATTTTTGTTCTCTATAGAACCCTGAGTTCTAAAAATGATAGTGTTGAATCCAAATTTTTATCTAAATTATATTGTTTTAATAACTTATTCATTCAATATTTAAAAAGAAACTCATAAGCGAATAAATCAGTCTTTAAAAATCCAAAAACAAAACAAAAACAAAAACGAAACACTATTGTGCCAGAATCATGTTTGTAAGATCAACCCAGGCTCTTCCACTTACTCTGCATGACTAAAAGCATGTTTGATGACCTCTCTGAGCCTGTTTCCACTTCTATCAAAATGTGAAGTTCATAGTCTTGCAAAGTTGTGTAAGGGTTAATGTAAAACCCTTTTCATATGTGAAATGAAACTAATAATAACCACTTTGAAGTTCTTGAGAAGTTTAAATGAGATAAGAAGATATAAAATGCTTAGCACAGGGTTGGTGTGGTGGCTCATGCCTGTAATCCAAGCACTTTGGGAGGCCGAGGCGGGTGGATCATTTGAGGTCAGGGGTTCAAGACCACCTTAGCCAATGTGGTGAAACTCTGTCTCTACCAAAAATACAAAAATTAGCCAGGTGTGGTGGCATGTGCCTGTAATTCTAGCTACTCAGAGGGCTGAGGTAGGGAAGTACTTGAACCCAGGAGGTGGAGGTTTCAGTGAGCTGAGATCCTGCCATTGTACTCCAGCCTGGGCCACAGAGGGAGACTCCATCTCAAAAAAAAAAAAAAAAAAATGTGTGGGGCTTAGCACAGTGTTTATCATATAGTGATCAATTAATTCTAGATACTCTTATAGTAAATTGAAAAATCAGTCATAATGAGAGTTAATATCACTCATTGTTAAATATGAATACGATGACTAACAGAAGAAAAAAACCCATTTCTTGCTGCAAAGGATATCTCAGTTAAAAGGAAAGCCGGCTTCTGGTCCAAAAAGACTGTATATGCATGTATTTCTGAATATTAAAAGTAAACCAAAAATCACTTTGAAAGGTTAGGTTATATCCTTGAATTTTAAGTAGAAAAGGGGTCAGAGAGTCTCTATAGCAATATAAGATAAAGGATCACCTCTGATCTTTCTTCTGCTTTTCTCTGGAGCTCTGGTGCCGGATTACTATAGCAACCACCAGACAAATGACTGCCATTGGGAACAGCACCCCAACCACAATGGAGAAGTCTGCAGCAGAGAACAGAGGCCCACTGAGCACTGCAGAAACACACATCTGCCCATCACACTAGTCCTTGTTTCTTTCCTTAGCACGTGTTCCAGCTGCCCTTTTCTCTAATGAATATACATTCCCTGGAAAACCTCCCATAGCCAGTAAAATGAAAATGTATTTTGATCAGCATTATTATATTAATATTTAGATAGAAGAAATATACATAAAATCTATAGGAAACATTAAACATGAAATAAGTAAAAAAAATCATAATATTGATAATACTTAGAAGGGATAATGTTTGTAACAACTGGAAAATGGCCTGGGAGAATAGAAGAGAATGTACAGTAGGGAAGATGACAAAGAAGAAATAAAATATTTTGAGAAGCAGTCTTGAAATAAAACAGAAAAAGAAACGAAAACTTGGAAGATACATTGTTGTCAGTAGGAAATAAGAAGCTGAGGTATGACTAAGGGAACTGAGAGACAAATAATTGAGTGTTCCACTGATGTTGGTCCACAGTGGAATTAATATGGACAGAAACGAAGTTATGTGACCTCGAGAATGAGGAAATGGTTTGAACAAATATTCCTGGGGCCCCGTGGTGCTTTTTCTTTTATTGATGAATTTAAATAATGAATGCAAAAACTTCAGTCTTTTGCGATCTCAGTTGTTCATTTCTCTTACAATAATCTGAAACCACAAGAGAATGAGAAGTAAAAGATTGAAGAGCAATGCCAACAGTTACCACTCTCATTACTAAAATCAGCAAACAAATAGCAAGATTAATTTTAGTATTAATGCAAGAAAAGTTCACAAGTGTGAGCACACACACACATACAGATAGAGATAGGCACATCAGAAACAGAATTCTAGGTAAGACAATGACTTCAGTTGAAACATTCACTACTCTCCACATTCCATAAAATTCCTATCCAAAAAGTCAAAGGAAAATCAAACAGTGAAGCATTCTGTTACAGTGTAGATATCTTCAGAATGAAAAATATACACTTACTTGGACTAATGTCAGAACTGTAACTATTTTCAAAGAATGATATTTTAGCAGAGGAAATAAATGGGACTTGGCAGTACTTCAGAAACACCCTGAACTTGAGAAGACATAGTCTGGAGCTAAAGTTGGGACATAGGACAGATGGAAGTACAACAAACAGTAAGGTTTGCAGGTGAAGACAGAAATCACTGAAGAGTAAGTGCAGCCTCTTCTTGTTTGTGGTACTGGTGGACTAGGAAACTAAGACCTACCCTCCTCTTAAAAATAATCATTAAATTATTTGCAAACAAATCCTTCCTAAAAATAAAGCACTTAAAAGTTAGATAAAATTACTTTGTAGACATTAGTGAGTGGGCAAGAACCCAGAGAGATAGAAAAGAAAATGATCCTACACAGAAGTTGAGAAATGCAGAAAGACATGAAAATGAACCAATAGCAAACTCTAATGGAAACTGTGGACTTGGGGTGATAATGACATGTTAATGTAGGTTTATGGAGTATTTGCACTCAACAAATACTCCACAGGAGTGGGGGATTTTGACTGTGAGGGAACCTGTGTAGGCCAGGTATATAGCAACCCGCTCTACCTCCTGTTCAATTTTGCTGTGAACCTAAAATTGCTCTACAAAAGAAAGTCTATTTAAAAAAAAGGAAGTTTTAGGATAATCATTAAAATAATGTAAAAGAAATGCATAATATCCAAGTTAACAAAATAATAGACTCAATAAGTCCATAAAAAGGGAGAGAAAAGGGAACATAAACAGGAAAGAAAAATAAAAACTATATTATTGTGGATTTACACCCAAGTATATAAGTAATTACATTTAATTTAAATGGATTATGTACCTCAGTTAAAGAAACAAAAACCAAAGATGTGAGAGTACTACTGAAAAATACATGTACATGCTTTCTTTTAGAAAAGAAAGATTTAAAACATGATTCAGAAAGGATAAAAATAAAAATATGGAAAAATGTTATTCCAGTGCAAATAAAGATCAAAAGAAATACAGCTATATGGCCTCCAGGAACTGAAGATTTTAAAAGGCAAGGAGATACTAGGGATACACAGAACCATTTTATAATGATACACTGTTCAATAATTTGGAAGATGCAACACTTTAACCTTGTAGGTACATAATAACATGCTCTCAAAGTATGTAAGTGCTGATACAGCCAGAAGTACTGATCAAATTCACAATTATAGTGGGAGAATTTTAACATTCCTAGCACAGTAATTGGTAGAACAAACAAAATATTAGGATTAATTTGTATATCAGACAATTAATAAACGTTTGATAGACAAAATATCTGGAGAATACTACAGAATACAAGTATGAGAAACTCAGTCAAATATCACTGATGAATATAAAATAAGAGCAAACAATACAAATTCTTCCAGATAATATAAATAAATGAATACTCTCCAATGCATTTTATATGACTAGCATAACCTCGATACCAAAATTCAGCAACTTTTTCAATAGGAAAAAAATCACATTCCAGTATCACCCAAGAACATAAAATGAGAGTGAAACTTACCCACCAACATATAAAATGGATATTATTTCTAAGTTTGGTTTATTCAAAGGTTGCAAACTTAAATCAGTGTTCACAAACCAAATGACTTATTTTGCAGTATTAACAGAGTAAAGGGGAATCATTTTAATAAATAAGGAAGTACTTTCATAGGTTCGCACAGACAGAATACATACAAATATTTCAACATACTCTTAACACAGTATTTCCCTGATAGCATTGTAATTATGCTAAGTATGAATTTAATAATAATTAGAAAATCTCCACATAAGGTGGCTCACACCTGTAACTGCAGCCCTTGGGGAGGCTGAGTCTGGCAGAACACCTGAGGTCAAAACTTTGAGATCAGCCTGGCCAACATGGTGATACTCTATCTCTACTAAAAGTACAAATATAGGTGGGTGTGGTGGCTAAGGGATTTATGTGAATGGGAACAGAATAAATATAGCCTAAACATCAGAAATAAATGTTATTCTCACTTGGAAAGTCTAACAATCTGAATTTGGGACACATATCTCACTCATATCTACTTAATCTCCTGTGTATATGCAACAAGATTGGTTAATCACCTGCAGACAAAACCCTAAGAATTTATCTCAGTTTCTGCAATCAGAGGATGCAGGAACATGAAAAGGAAGTCAGAGGCTTATTCTAGATACCTATATTATATCAGACACAGAGGAGAGTCAAGGAGAAAATGGTGAGGAAAGCAGCTCTCTCAGGAAAAAAATGTGATGACAAGCTCCCTTCTCATCATAACAATTGGAAGTGGGTCCCATTCTGGCTCCTTCCCACCCTGGAGACATATAGGCAGACTTGCCTACCTGCCCATAGAGCTCCCAGCCAGATTCCCCTCAAGAGAAGTATCTGTAGGTACAACAGCACACAAAAATGCAGAGAAAACCCATCTGAACTAATCCAGCTCAACCATTCCACATTCAACCAAGCATCACATATCCTAAAGAAAACTAGAACAACAGAATACAAGTGGCGTGGTGATAGAACAACCCAACTCAAAAGAAACAGATAATTCAAAGAATAGAATTGAATGTACAAAAATAATCATAGTCATAGTTGTGGTTTTTGTTTGTTTTGAGACGAGTTGCTCAGTTGCCAGGCTGGAGTGTACTGGTGCCATCTCGGCTCACTGCAACCTCCGTCTCCTGGGTTCAAGCGATTCTCCTGCTTCAGCCTCCTGAGTAGCAGATACTACAGGCACATACCACCATTCCCAGCTAATTATTGTATCTTTAGTAGAGACAGGGTTTCCTCATGTTGGCTAGCATAGTCTCGAACTCCTGACCTTGTGATCCACCCACCTTGGCCTCCCAAAGTGCTGGGATTACAGGTGAGGCACCTCACCCCACCTCATAGGGAGTTTTATGAGAATATTAGATTTTCATTAAGTTGAGGCTGCTATGAAAATGGAACAATCTGACAGAAAATTTGGAAAATTAAAATAACATTGCAAATATAAACATGGAGGCAAATTTTTTGCATGTGCAGTGAAAATAAAGACATGGAAAATATAATTAAAAGGTGTTAAGGAAATTTGAGGGATGAATATTGTAGATTCAATATCTATAGAACAGAAATTTCAAGAAGAGAGAAAAGAAGCAATGGAATCTCATATAAAATAAAGGCTTAGAAAAGGAGAGCAATTTTCTCAGGTTAGATGTGTAATGCTACCTACGGAAGACAACTGAGGAGTCATCACAGTTGGGGGGGCTCCATCCTTCCTCACATTGACATTGGAGCTCATGGTCACACACCTATGGGAGCAATGATCCTGTTAGTGTCCCTGCTAGACTGACCACAAACTCAAGGCCCTAATCATCCGTAATAAAGTTCATTCGAAAACAGGAATAACTCGATTTCCAATCTCCAGGCTTCCATCTATGAATGAATGAGAGGCATTTCATAAATGATTCTCAGAAGAAATTTCTCCTTGAACCATGCTACTAAAGGGTTGTACAGACTTAGTAATTCTCATCGTTAAATGCTGAAAACATCTATTTAGTTTTATTATGACTCAGCTAAAATGTCATAAGATCCAGAGAGCTTAAGGAAACATTTTCAGAACTTACAGCATGTCCTTTGCACTTAGATGAGCAGTTGGTTGATTTGTAGGCTTTCTCGATATCCACACATTCTGAATTAATGCAAACCTGAAAGTGATGTAGAAAACATGAAGCTGAATCGTCTCTGAACGTAGGTGAGAAAATTGAGGTCTGTGTGAAGAGCTAGCAGATATTGTTTAAGGTGACTTTGCCAGGAGGCTGTTGCATAGGAAGGGAAATGGAGATGGTATTTGTTGCTGACAGTATCCTCTTAGTTAAACCAACCCAAAAAGACCAATAAACTCTACCTAGTCATTTATGTATTTTTAAAGATTGCAACAACTCTATATCCCAGAAGCAATGACTATACACAAAGTTAAGATATGAGCAATAATAAAATGATCTTAATGCCAACATGAGTGGCATGCTTAATGAATTATGCTACTGAAAGGTTGAACGAACTGAGCAATTCTCAACATTTAATGCTGAAAACATTCCTTTAGCTTTATTATGACTGACCTAAAACGTCGTAAGATTCAGAGAGCTTAGGGAAAGATAGTTTCAGAACTTACAGCGTGTCTTTTGCACTTAGATGAGCAGTTGGACCCAGGAAAACCTCATTCTGCCCTACTCCCAGTACCTTCCTCCCTTAAGGCCCAAGCACTACAGTACTCATGCCAGGTCCTGTGATAATGTCTCCTTTAGCACTAGAAAACATAAGGAAATTATTATGTGAAACCTGGAAAACCCAATTAAAGATTTTATTTTATGTAAAAGTTTTTGCCTTGATGCTGGCATGTATTTCAGGAAAAACTAGGGAAAGGAAGAAGTTTAAATACTGTGAGTAATTCTTACAGGTAAGACCTAATGTTTTAATGTCAAAATAGCAGATGTATAAACTTTTCTAAATGTTCATTCTCAGCTCCAGGGGCTCAGAGGCCACGTCAATCTCATTCACCTTTTTGTATTTACTTTTTAAAACTGTATGAGCAATACCCACACTGAGCCACTAAGAAAATTTTGGACCCATCATTGAATAAATATACCTTTAAATAGCCAAACAGTTTAAGTAAATAGATAATATTTTGAGGATGGGCTCTACCACAGTGAATAATCAGGGGAACTCTTTGGTCATGTGGATATCTTAATAAGATAAATAGGATAATTCTAATCTTGTATAAGAGACAAACCTCCTCATTGTCAAAGTTTGTGGGTTGGTTGGTCCTTGGCTAAACAGTACTTGTACTTCAGATTAAGTTTATCATATCATTATATTACTATTAAGTTCATTATATTATTAATTGTGTACAAATCTTTTAAGTGAAGCTCAGTATCAAATACACTGGCACTTTGAGTTTCCAGACTTCAACTATGAAAGTCAAATGGATGCTACCCTGTGTTAACAGCGTGACAATATGATACTCTTCTTGAAATAATAACAATGAGAGGCAGTTATTTCCAAATTTCACCATGGTGTTTGAGAATGTTACTATCAATGCTTATTGCTGCTGTTGACTACGTTCTGTGATGTTTTTATTTCTCAGTGTTCCAAATTCAAATGTCTTTGGGTTCTATTAAGGCATAGTGAACCCCAAAATTGGGAAACAAGGCAGGTAGTAAATAACTGAGAGACAAAACAACAAAACACATCAAAGCAAAAAATACTACTTTAAGTGAAAGCCACAGTTTGAACTTACCTTGTTATGGCCACACTTAGTTCCATTGGCCACCATGCCTATTTCTTGACTTGTGTCTTCAGGATCAAATGTTTTACATGTCAGGAAAGTCACTATCCGTCCCTTCCAGGGCACATTATCTGACCCACCTTGACAGAACAACTTCCCACACATGGCGTCACTGAGGAAAAGGCCAAAATTTATTGCAGGGTTCAAATTGCAGTTTATATAAATGCAAATCAGCTCTAGGACTATGGATATTTAACTGATGGTATTTTTTTCCCAGTAGCAGAGATTTTTAATTGTACTTTATACTCATTTTCCTTTATTTCTCAGTAATAGGTTGCCCAAATGTTAGCACAATACATTATTGCTCAAATAAACAGCATCACCCAGATCCCTGTACGCCCTAATTTTTGCCAGTTCCCTAACTGGTGGCCCATGAGAGGAAAACAGAATCTTAAGCACCAATTCTAGAGGATAGTCTTAAATGAAGTATCTTCTGTTTCTCAATGGTGTCTATTTTTGCTCGTTGGAGTGTGATAGCTGGAGAAGTCATCACAGACTGAAACACTTGGAAATGGAGGTCATGTGGATGATGGAGCTAGAAGATAAAATGTGGACTCCTAACATCATGGAGGGCGTCTGAGAAATCATTGTCCTTCTTGCTTCAGATAGGTTACTCATTTATTTCTATAACTGGCTGCAGAATAATTCCACCAAACAAAAGCCCAGCTCTCCACTATAGTTCTGTCAGTACAAAGCTGAACCTCCCTTGACACTGCAAGGCATCAAGTGGAGTTACTAAAGGAAGTGTCTTCCTGAAGCTGCAGATTAAACTGCTCAGCACTCAATCAAGCCATTAATTTACTGTCAGCAGGACTAAAAGACAATAACATCGAAGTCAGTTGGTTTATACAGAACTCAGAAGAGGGCTGTGAGAAAGTATCCTGAAAGTGATGGAATCAGATGTTTTGATACCTCTAAGCTGTCGAAAATATGTTTGAGAAGGGGAGAAAAGCATATATTCTCTTAAACATGAGAGCGTGCTTTTCTGTAATCATTTAGGTAAAGCCATGAAGGATGGCTTTAGGGCACAGGGAATCTCAGGCTAACTCTCCACTGTAGCTGATGACTATTAGAGAGTGACTAGGAGGGTAGTTTGCAGGGTGAAGGAACTGCTTGAGTCACTAATTGCAGAAACTATGTAATGTTCATGCAAAAAGTTACCTAGGACAATGGTGTGTGCACAGGCTGCAGAGGAAAGATAGCAAGACCCACTCTCCTCCCATTCACCACCTACACATTGCCCTTCCTCTGGCCCTTCCCTACTGCCTTTCCCATGATTTCCTCTTTTGAATCTGCCCTGATTTCCTATAAAAAAGAAACCACAAGACCAGCAATAATGGTGGTTGTCTAGGCACAGATTCCCCCAAGGGACAACCCTGTATTCAAAGTTATAGTTTGGTAAATATCAGTCATACAGTTAAATTTGTGTCCGATAGACGAACTTTGGGAAATATTAATCTTGTACAACCTCTTGTTATAAATTAGTTTGTATAGGTAAAATTTATAGTAGGTACAAAGGTTTAAACTATAATTGAATTTTAAAGCCCATCTTAAAATTGCAGAATTAAAAATAAACCATAGAAAAATCTAAAATTCATCTGGTGTGCTGTTCTATACTGCTTTCCAGATGTCAGTACTGAAACTAACAAACTTTTTAGATGGATTGTCAATATTTCCTCTTACTGTATTTTTTTCTTTATGTAATTCTACTCTTCAAGCATTGCATCTGTTATTCCTGTGGGTAGATATATATGTTTACTCTGAAACATATAAGGAAAAACATTTGCTTGAGAAAGCATCTCGTTTATACTGGAAAATCCCTGGGCAATATTTTAAAATCTTTGTTTTTCCAGGTTCTTAGGTTACAGCTTGTATTTGGTTACATGAGTAAGTTCTTTTATTATTATTATACCTTAAGCTCTGGGGTACCTGCACAGAATGTGCAGGTTTGTTACATAGGTACACACGTGCCATGGTGATATGCTGCACCCATCAACCTGTCACCTACATTAGGTGACATCCTAATGTTACCCTCCCCTAGCCTCCACCCCCCTAAAAGGCCCCAGTGTGTGATGTTCCTCTCTCTGTGTCCATGAATTCTCATTGTTTAACTCCCACTTAGAAGTGAGAACATGGGATGTTTGCTTTTCTGTTCTTGTGTTAGTTTGCTGATAAGGATGGTTTCCAGTTTCATCCATGTCTCTGCAAAGGACACGAACGCATCCTTTTTTATGGCTGCACAGTATTCCATTATGTATATGTGCCACATTTCTTTTTTATCCAGTCTCACTGATGGGCTTTTGGGTTGGCTCCAAGTTTCTGTTATTGCAAAGAGTGCTGCACTAAACATACATGTGCATGTATCTTTATAGTAGAATGATTTGTAATCTTTGGGGTATATACCCAGTAGTGGGATTGCTAGATCAAATTGTGTTTCTAGTTCTAGATCCTTGAAGAATCATCACACTGTCTTCCACAATGGTTGAACTAATTCTTACTCCCACCGACAGTGTAAAAGCGTTCCTATTTTTTTTACAACCTCCAGCATTTCTTGTTTCCTGACTTTTTAATTATTGTCATTCTAACTGGTGTGAGATGGAATCTCAGTGTGGTTTTAATTTGCATTTCTGTAATGACCAGTGATGATGAGCTTTTTTTCATATGTTTGTTGGCTACATAAAAGTCTTCTTTTGAAAAGGATTCGTTCATATCCTTCACCCACTTTTTGATGGAATTGTTTTTTTCTTGTAAATTTGTGTAAGTTCTTAGTAGATTCTGGATATTAGCCCTTTGTCAGATGACTGACTGCAAAGATTTCCTCCTATTCTGTAAGTTGCCTGTTTACTCTGAGGAATGCTGTACAGAAGCTCTTTAGTTTAATTAGATCCCTTTGGTCAATTTCGGCTTTTGTTGCCATTGCTTTTGGTGTTTTAGTCATGAAGTCTTTGCCCATGCCTATGATTCCTGGACACATTTCTAACCAGACCCATTCTTTGTTGCATGTTCCATCGCAGCCATTCATTCTGTTCAACAATGACTATGCTTGGTGTCATCTGAAGCACCCACCATGAGGTACTTGAAGCAAGAACCCATTTCTTGTCTTTTTAGACTCGGTAACTAGCCCACAACATGGCATATAGAAGTTACTCAATAAATGTTTGTCAAATGATTGATGACCTATTTCACTTTTCCTTTACCTGGAATAAATGAGAATGTGTAGCTGGAAGTGTACCATTGCTTTAGTCTGTAAAGCAGAAAGGTTCAGAAAAGACCACTTACTTTGCTGCGCAAGGAATGGGTGTGCCGTCCACTTTGCGACAGTACCCGTACTTTGACCCGCCTTCATTCCTGCTGTAACATGACTTAGCTGCAACCTCAGTTCCTGGGACCAGGCATAGTCAGGAGGGAAAATAAAATAGATTTGTGAGATTCAAGAGATATTTGGAAAGAAAAGAGATTTTAAAATTTCAATACTGGCAAAGGATTTATAAAATACAAAACAAGAAAAATACTATTTTAGCATACTTCCATTGGCCACTCCTAGAAACACAGGCTGCAGTAATTTGGTATCAAATGAGCTGGCTTGAATTGTAAATAAATGGTCTTTTAAGTCATCTATTATTCCACAATAAACTACTATGTGCCAGGTACAAAAATAAGCATCCCACATTTCATGTCTCAGGCAATCTTCCTCGGATCTCCATCAGACGAAACACATTGGTTAAGAGCTCAGGCTTTAAGCAAGACTGAGTAATTGTGTGAATATGGGCAATGTCTTAACCCCTGAGTTTTCTAATCTGTAAAATAAGGATAAGTACATATAATTATGAATGTATATTCAACCATATATTTACACATAAATGTGTACCTGCACATATGTTATTTATAATAGTACCTACCTCAAAGAGTTGTTTTGAAGATTAAATCATTTAATATAGGTGAGCTACTGAGAACAGTATGTGGTCAGCAGTACATGGTTGACAAATACTAACCATTTTTATTGCTATTCTCAATTTATTAATGAGGAAAAAGAATCCTATTGAGTCACACAGAGAGACCTATGCTGCTTCTCTGTGCTGAGGTGCCCCCCCTTAAAGATCAGTAAGTAACTCTGTCTTAAACATTTGGAAAATTTGAATCTAGCCTTTGACAAAGAGCAAACTAAGTGAAAAATAAGCAAATAGCTATGAAGATAGTTTATTGTTTTCAACAAATACTTTAAACCTGTTATGATGACTTGTAAACTCAAAATATTTTAAGTTAATTTCATGTTTCAATGTGCAAGATCATAAAAGGAGTTTTGTTACCATTTTTTTGATTTGTAGTTGAGTAAAATTTATAAATTTTCACTATACAATATCTGCAGAGAATAAAAGAATCATTAGTCATGAATAATCAGGGAAAAGCATTATATTCCTAATCTGAGACTTCAGAGTTATTGCTGCTAATATTGCAGAATGTATCTTTTATATATCTGGCATCATGCTATTTTATAACTTATTTCTTGCCAGTTAAAAATATGCCTGTCCTTTCCCTAGGCATTAAATTGTCTAAATCATCACAGCTGCAAGAATTGCAGTTGAATTAGTATAGTTTAATGTATTTAATCCTTATTTTTTGGATTTTGAGATGTTTTTCAATTATCCACTATCATTAAAAATTGCTGACTGAAAAATCCTCATAAATAAATTATTTCTCAGTACAATTGCTAGGAGATGGAGTACAAATTTTTTTTAAACTTTTGTGTATGCATTTTTCTCTCTGTAAAGATTATGTTACTTTGTATATTTACCAGCAGTGTAAGAGGGGAGTTGTTTGGTCACGTTTTCACTGACATTGAACATTAACATCTGTCGCAAACTTTTGCCACTTAGCAAATGTAGAATATTAACTCGTTTTCATTCAGGTTTTGTATATTGCTGGAGAGTTAAAATGATTTTAATTTCTATAACATATTTGTATTTCTTCTTCATGATGGATGGCCTGCTTATGCCATAGCCATATTTTCAATACTTGGAATTACAACTGATTTTTAGGAATGATTTGATGCCCAAAAGAATTATTTTTAAATTACTTACAAAGTTACAAGACTTTTCAAACTTTCCAGATTAATTTAAAATCAATCTGTAATCCTCTGTGAATTGTAAAATTTGGAATTTTATTTAGGCAAATTGATTTCTCTGGCCTTTTATAATGGCGGTCTTTAAATGTATGGTTGAAGAGGTCTTCTCCATTTCATGATCAGATAAAGATGGTCCGTGTTAATTCAGTAGACAATTTTGAGCTTTTTACTGAAGCCAGGTACTGTGCTAGGAAGCACTGGGAATACAGCTATGAGTAGCGCAGGCAATGTCCCTGTCCCAGGAAGTTTACAGACTTGCGGAGGAGGCTAATCATAGAGTCTGACAAAGGGAGGTAATAGTTAATATTGTTTGCAGTTAATATTTACTGCAAGATACTAAAGGTGATGCTCAGAACTTCACCTCTGTGCTAAAGATTTTTTTCTCCTGGTTTTTGCCTTATATTGAAGTTAGCCAAGGAAGCATGAGCCTCTTAACCAGCCAAGTCAGATTTGTTTCCATCTTTAACCTCGCGCATTCACGAAGTGGAAGCAGGATTCCTGAGGCCCGGTTCCAGGACACCAGTGAGCTTCCTGACATACTAATGGTATTGAGCTTTGCTCCTCAAATTGTCTCTTAACCCACCACAGTCAAGGACTGAGGAGTTTACAGGGAGGTTTTTCTAGGGCTGTCTCAATTTCCCCGCTTCCTTGTTTTCACAGTGCATTGCAAGTCAGGAATTTTTGTTGATTTTCTCAATCTTGTTTTAGCTGTATTTTCAGGAATTAAGAAAAGTTTCTGGTATGCAATGTCCCCTTTCAAATATTTTTAGGAATATGTACATTTTCTCTATTTTAAAATATTGTTTCAGTCATTTAAGTGGGAATCTGAAACTAATAGGAAGGGAGTATGGCACGAAAAAGGGTATACACAATACACATCATATGCAGAAAGCCCAGATAACTGTTTTTTGTGTGTTTTTTTTTTTAAACAAACTTGCCTTTCTTTTTCTTTTCTTTTTTTTTTTTTTTTTCAAATTAAATTTTCTATCCTTTGACCAACATCTCCCTACCTCGTCCCTGTCAGCCCCTGGAAACAAACATTCTACTTTCTACTTCTATGTGTTCAATTTTTTATATTTCACAAATAAGCAAGAAAGTTATAGGAGCTAAAATTGCCTTTCTAATGAAGTTATTTAATACTATTTAAATTGCCGTTCAAATTTTCAGGTATCTCTTAGTAAACTTCTATTTTTCAAGTTTTCTTCTTGGTGAAATTAGAGAATATGGTCTCTAAAATTTTGGTGTTATGGACAAAGTGAGCATTTAAGAACTTTCAGTTTTCTTGATTGCCCTTCTGCATTTCCAGAGTTCTTCTTTTTTCCACCTTTTCTTATTTCTGTCCCATTCCCCAGGACTTGTTCCACCCACCCCCAACACACACACACACACACACACACACACACACACACACACACACACAGAAGTTGGGGGGGGGAGACAGAGAGAGAGAGAGAGAGAGAGAGATTTCCAAGGGTTTATGATCTTAGAGTTGCCAGATTTAAAAAAAAAAAGAAAAAGAAAAACGACACCTAGTGTAATCTGAATTTCAAATAAATAAATAATTTATATTAGTCTAATCACACCTCAAATATTGCATGGGATATATTGATGCTAAGACAAAAAGTTGTCATTAATTTGAAGTTAAAATTTAACTGAGCCATCCTTATTTTTATTTGGTAAATCTAGCAACCCTAAAACCAACCTCAAGTCTTAAAACCATTCCACGATTTTGAGTTTGAAGTTGCTAAGAAGGATAGGACAGAATGGTCCTTTGGCCGTGATTAAACAGTCATCTGAAATGATTTTTCTTCGCACATGCACAGAGGAAAGGGTCTGTCCTCCTACCTGGTCCCCACAGCTCTGCGCATTGCTCCTGCAGTGTCGGGCACGCCCCCATCAAGCAGTAGCCCTTCCCCTGATGGCAAGGGAAGCCATTGACTTGGAATCTATCATCAGGACAATTACCAGATTTACCATCACACATTTCAGGCAGGTCGCACTCATCTTTTGCTGGTCTGCACACCATCCCAGCCTTTTTAAACTGTAGAAAAACAAAAATAGAAGCCTTTTTCTTTCCTATCTGCTTTACCCTAATATCTCAAATCAACACATAATATTTTCCGTTCTGGCCTTTTGGGGCATGGTAGTTGGAGGTGTGATTTCATTTCAGTTTACATTGTTATTATAAATTAAAGCCATCCTCTGTTACATCACTTCTACCTAAGTTGTGTGTGTCACCCAGGTTGGAGTGCAGCAGTGTGATCTCAGCTCACAGCAACATCCACTCCTGGGTTCAAACAATTAACGATTCTTCTGCCTCAGCCTCCCAAGTAGCTAGGATTACAGGTGCACACCACCACGCCCAGCTAATTTTTGTATTTTTAGTAGAGATGGCGTTTCACCATAATGGCCAGGCTGGTCTTGAACTCCTGACCTCATGATCTTCCTGCCCCAGCCTCCCAAAGTGCTGGGGTTATAGGCATGAGCCACCACACCCAGCCTATGCCCTAAGTTTTAAAGCAATCAGTATTTCTGAATTTGTACTACAAACACTAAAGAAATATAACGTAGAAAAGTACAGGGAAAAAAAAAAAACAGGTAACAACTTAGATATAAAAAAGGGAGTTATTTCTCCCTTTGTTGAATGCATCTCTGTCGGGAACTCCAAGGAAGTTTAAATCTGCAGCTTCAGAGATTTACTGGTAAAGTGGATCTTTGGTATTCAAGGAGATAAGCTTACAAGTACCACATCAGCAGGATCAGACTTTCCCAGGCCTTGAGTTTCCTAATCCTTATTCCCTTTATTGTAGGCTGAGCTATTTCCTTTCAACTAACTTCGTCCATAGAATGACTTATCATGAGGGAGAAATAACCAAATATTTACTTGATATGTTAACTCTGTTGTAATCAATTACTGCAAATCTTACTCTTACTTGTTCTGAGAAACCTTAGTAAAACAAATTCTGCAATACCTGAAAGCATGTTTGCTTTTCCCCTTTCTAACAGGAGCAGGTAAGTTTTCACTGCATTAAATAACTTAGGATATCTTAGTACCAGTGACAGAATCCAATCCAAATTTCAGTCCAAGCCTGTGAGATCCTCCAAATTCAACCCATGGCTCCAGCCAGACCATTTCTAACCAGATAACAGACAAACCATGCCTATATCTTGTCTTGTGTCTTTGCTGTTTCTGTGCTCTCATTTGGAAATTCTTTTATGACTAAATCCCTTTTGTCTAAAGTTTTTTAAAGTCCGTTTGAAAGCCCTTTTTCCCACCAAGACTCCTCTGACCTCTTCAATGCAAATTGCCACTTGTGTTTCCTTCATGTGCTTGGAAAGAGTTGAATTCAGATTTAGGTCATGGGGATTTGAATCTTGGCTCTGTGAGTGTCTGAGTGCTGAACTTTAGAAAATAGATTTAATCTCTCTGAAAATCCCTGTCCTCATCAAACATCTACTTTACAAGTCCATTTTGAAAATCAAGTGAGAGTTTACATGAACAGTTTAATGTCTCATTATGCTATCAACCTGGCCATTGGATCACACATTATATTTTCATCTGTTTCATGTGTGCATGTCATTGTCCTAAATAAACAGTAAGAAACTGGATACTTTTTTATGTACCGTAATCTCTAACAAATAACATTTCCTAAACACTCTTTGAATACTACTTAAGTTCTCAAATTTACTCCCTTTTGGATTTTTTTCTTTCTTTCCTCTCTCTGACATTAAAAACAAAATAACCAAATATTCCTTATAACCTGGTATGCCATCTGCACATTCATGCTGCAGTTATAGATCATTTAAAATGTGTGAAATTCTGTGCTAGGTGAAAGTGAAACAGTCCTTTGCCCTTAGCAGTCAGTATAATTAGAAACAAACAAACCCTCACCATATAGAATGATGATATGCAACAACAGAAAGTTAAATACTAAACTTGACCTTGCAGGACAAGTCAGAGAAGCACCACAGAGAACATGACATGTCTTATTTAGAAGAATTTCACCCTGAAGTGGCTTCAAAGATTGAAGATAGGGACACCCCACACTACTCAGAATAAAACCTCTTCCACCACACACATTACTATAGTGTGAGATTTGACCTGAGAAAGCGTTGGAGCATGAGAAACAGCAGCAGACAGGAGTAACTAGCATTGGCTTTGGAGCTGGTCACACTTGGGGTCATCGCACTAAACAGTGGCCGTGTTTATTTTTACATTTTTTTATTGTCTATATTTAAGGTGTGCATGATTTAATATATGTATGTGTGGTGAAATGCTTACCACATATGTGCACCTATGTGCCCACAAAAATAAAAAATAAAATTTTTAATGATTACTATAGTCAAACTGATGTATTGGTCTCTTACATAGCGGTGTGTGTGTGGTGAGAACGCTTGAAATCTCTCTTAGCAAATTCCTGATACACAATATAGTATTAATACCTATAGTCATGTTGTACCTTAGATCTTTAGCCTTATTCATCCTACATAACTGTAACTTTGTCCCTATTGGCCATCATCTCCCCACTTCCCCAGCCTCCTTGCCCTTGGTAAACACGATTCTACTCTCTGTGTGTATGTATTCAACCTTTTTGGATTCCACATGTAAGTGAGATCAGTATGCAGTGTTTTTCTTTCTATACGGCTTATTTTACTTAGCATAACGTTCTCAGGTTTGTCCAGGCTGTAACAAATAGTGGCCATATATTATTTTGTTCATTTTCTACCCTGCATTTGTCCTCAGAAACAAATGAAATAATATCTACACGAAAGATCACTGGGAGATTAAATAGGCCATGTATATTAAGTACTGAGTAAGTGCTTGGTAAATAGTAAATATTACATAGAAAGAAAAATATTGCACTGCTTATTCAGTTAACATAATCGCTGAGATGTTATTGTACAAAAATAATTGTAATTATTAAAATAGAATAAAGTAATAATCTTACTTGGCATTTTTCACAACATTCTCCTAAGGCACATTGAAAACTTGCTTTGATTTTACATGTTTTAGCATCACAGCAAATATTGGTACATTCCTAAAAAATATGAGAAACAAATATAAATGCAACATTAGTTTTTGGTCCCAGTTCAGCACAATTTGTAACGTAGTACATACATCAGGCATATGTTACTTTTATGAAGTTTGAATATGACTTTTTCAAAATTAAAGACAAAAAAATTAGAAAACGTGAAATTTTGGAGCAACTGATGGTTTGCTGTTTATCTCAGTTCCATTTACATCATTTTTCTATTAACTACTTAAATCATTAATAATATTAATGATAATTTCCAATAATAATATTTAATATTGGAAATAACATTAATTTGATAATCATTAATATTAATGATAGTTTCCAATATTTAATATTTGAAATAGTAGTTTATTTAATCATTAATATTATTTTTCCAGTGTAAGTTTCCAATAATATTAAGGAAAGACTTTTTGGTAAAATATGAAGAAAAAAAACGCAGTTCTTAAGATTTGTGTAATTATAGAACATAATTCCTTCTACTCATCAGTTACGTATATATCTAGCAGTAAATCCAATTGCTAGAATATCTACTGAAAAGCTCAAGATATAGCTCTTTTTCTAACTTTAATACTTAATTCAACTGTGCTTGAAGCAAAAGACTTTGACTTGGTCTCTCTGCTTTGTTTCAGAATCCTGCCTGCACAAGGCATTGGAGAAAGTCCTCCCTCAAAAACGTTCTCTGTAGCTGTCTAGATTCCCTTAGAAGAGTGACACTTTTAGAGTTATGACATTTTAGGCTTAAAACTGTTGCCCTTAGTTCAAATATAATGTTATCAACCAGGACAGACTGTTTTTTCTCATAGAGTGAATAAATACATAATCAAATAAATAATCACACTTCAAAGTTACTGAAAGCCAATACCCTGAAGGCTTGATATATTACTTATATGAAGCATTAATAACATGGAAGCAGAGGTCCTATTCGAAATCCCAGCTGCCCTATGAATAAGGTCAGGACAGAACTTCTGATGTTAATATCCTCTGAGTCCCAAGGCAGGAAGGGCTACACCAGATCCCTGTGCTGGGTGGTCTTGGGTTTCAGAGCTGGAAACAGATACATTTGAAACTACATCTTGGCTCCTCCATTTGCCAGCCCAGTGACCTTGAACCATCAAGCTATGTGTACGCTGAGCACTCTCACAGTGCTGTGTCAGTGCTTGGTGAGTGACAGTCACATAAGAAACTTTAAGTATTTCACTCCGAAAGGGAGGGAGGAGGACACAAAGCCTGTTAGTAAATAGGCTTTAAAAAAAGGAATGAGGACCGAACCCTGGGAGAAACATTATCAAGGTCTGTTCAGCAGTACAGGACTCCTTGTCAAAAAGATTTTCCTGGAAAATACCTCCAAATGGACTTATCCAAAATGACCGAAAACCCTACAGTGTTACAGTGGGCCACACCTTCTTTTGGAGGGGTTATCTTCTGAGCAATAGAAAAACGACTAGATAGTTTTAGAAAGTGATAGGCAGTACCTCGGAAGTCCCACAATCACAGTCCTCTCCCATTTCCAGCAACTGGTTCCCACAGATCGGGGTGGATATGATATCTGTACGCAACGGAGCATTGAAGAGACAATTTGATAATTTATCTTGAAAAAACTTGTCATAGCTGACACGGCTGCAGGAGCTGAAGTCTGTGGGTATATGGAAGCTGTGAAGATAAGGAAAGACAAACCTGGAATACAGTCCTTGTTAACATATGGGAAGCAGTATCTGAAATTCGGCACAATTACACTCACAGCCTGCCCCAAAAGACAAAATCCAATCCACTGGCCAATTGCTGAATGGTGAGCTCATGTCCATACCTGGATTAACCCACTTGGGCAGATACAAACGCTTCCAACTTTGTGAGAAAATACAGTCCTATTTCAAAATGTAGCATCCAGGCCACTTTTGATTAAAAAAATGACTCTGACTTCTCCAGATAATCTTAGATCATTTTGGGGTTGTGAAGTCCTTCAGGTAGCAAAATAATACTGATTCACATGTCTCAGAATTCACTTTCCTTTAGAGGAATTCCTATTGATAGGCTCTCTTCATCCGACATATAGAGATGAAGTTGAAAACTCAAAGTGGAGGAGAAAGGTAACTTAAGCTCTGTAACTGGCATGCAGCCATATGCCATTATGTGAAGGGACTTTGGAGAATAACCCTAGCTTGAGTGGGTTGAGGGAGGAAATGAAAATAGGAAAGAGGAAATAATTTATAGAATGAGCTATAGGAATAGAAAAGAGGACATGAATATATAAAAAAGATTGTGAGATTTTTAAATATAAGATTGCCTGAAAATTTTGCCTAAGTCAGGGTAGGAATGTGTGATGTCTTTTCATAGGCTGTCTTCATTGTCCTATAAGAAGTTTCTTCTTTAATTAGATTTTTATTCTAGAACCCTTTTCCGACCATGATCTATTCTGAACTTACGGAAAACCTGACAAATGATAATAATTTTTCTGAAGCCAGGTCTTATATAGATAAGGTGAGGATAAAATGATGAATTGCCCCTAAAGAGACAATATTTTGTAATTATGTCTTTTTTTTTTTTTTTTTTTTTTTTTTTTTTTTTTTTTGAGACGGAGTTTCGCTCCTGTTACCCAGGCTGGAGTGCAATGGCGCGATCTCGGCTCACCGCGACCTCCGCCCCCTGGGTTCAGGCAATTCTCCTGCCTCAGCCTCCTGAGTAGCTGGGATTACAGGCACGCGCCACCATGCCCAGCTAATTTTTTGTATTTTTAGTAGAGACGGGATTTCACTATGTTGACCAGGATGGTCTCGATCTCTTGACCTCGTGATCCACCCGCCTCGGCCTCCCAAAGTGCTGGGATTACAGGCTTGAGCCACCACGCCCGGCCAGCGTAATTATGTCTTAGTTATTGAAAAATGTTACAGATAGATGAGGTGGCTTGGCACAAATACACATTTATTTAATCACTCAAAAACTTGAACATGTTGTTGCAGATAACCTAAAGAGTAGTAGAACCCAGTGTGGATCAAAACCAGGGCTACACAGCATGCCCCCAGAGAGCCTTACCTCAGTGCTTTGTCCATCACACATCTTGCAGAAGGACACTTGCAAGAATAGTTGTCATGAAACATTCCAAAGTTGTGGCCCATTTCATGGGCCATTGTCCCTGCAACTCTAAGAAGATTGTCACTGTGGTCCTAAGGGTATGAAAGAAGAAAAAGATACTCTGATTTTCAAATGGACTTACAATTTACTCTACCTGCTCGTGCACTCACTCTCTCTCTCTCTCTCTCTCTCTCACACACACACACACACACACACACACACACAACTAAGTAGAACTGAACGCACATCACAGTACATATGGTCCACCCTTTCCTCTGTGAGTAGGTTCCTATAATGAAGGAAATTGTTCCAGCTTTCTTTCCATGAAAGATGATGGCAGATTTACATCTACAATGATAAGAAATAAGAACTTTTTTTTTTTTTTTAAGTGATTGATCTCCCCTCCCTATGACTTGCCTTTTAGAAGTCTTTGATGCATTTGGCCATTAGGGATCTAAAATTATTTGTCAACCTAGCACTTAGCTTTATTTGTATCTTTCTCAATTCCATCATTGCCAAGAGTAGACATGAGTCAGTTAAAAAACCTCCCCCAGGCCGGGTGTGGTGGCTCACGCCTGTAATCCCCGCACTTTAGGAGGCTGAGGCGAACGGATCACAAGGTCAGGAGATCGAGACCATCCTGGCCAACATGGTGAAACCCCGTCTCTACTAAAAATACAAAAATTAGATGGGCATGGTGGCGTGCGCCTGTAATTCCAGCTACTCAGGAGGCTGAGGCAGGAGAATTGCCTGAACCCAGGAGGCGGAGGTTGCAGTGAGCCTAGATTGTGCCACTGCACTCCAGTCTGGCGCCTGGTGATGGAGCGAGACTCTGTCTCAAAAAAAAAAAAAAAAAAAAAAAAAAAAGAAAACCTCCCCCATTGCATGAAGTCCAGCCTATGGCCAACTTGATCACCAGACTGTTTCTGGTTTGAGGTGCTTGTACTCAACTCCAAGCTTGCAGATAAATTAGAGCTTGCAGCTATAAATCATCCAGGAGCAATAAAACAATGCAGGAGAATCATTGCTGGTTAAGGAGACAAGAATCTGCCAGTAACATCTACCTATAGAAGTCTGATCCCCTTATCTGCTTCATCTCAAAGAACTAGATGTAAAGTTTGATAAGGAACAGTACAAGATTGGCAAACAAGGCACAGCTGTCTAAGTTGGGAAGTCGATACTTAACGCTCTTTATATTTCATTCTTTTGAGATGAATGTGGTAAACTCTCCTAGATAGCAATATGGACCTCTCCAAATGGGGAAAAATGCAAGCCAGAAAGCCCAAGAAAAATTAAAATGTGTTTAGAGACTTTTCAGATTGTGTATCTGAATTTCCTTTAAATTTATGATTTCTTTCTTTAAATGACTGTTTTCCTAAATTAAATGATTTACGCCCTCACATGACCTCCATTTTGTCTTCCCCTCTCTAAATCCTAACTACTTTTTGAGGTCCATCTCTCTCTCTCTCTCTCTCTCTCTCTCTCTCTCTCTCTCTCTCTCTTATTTATTTATTTATTTATTTATTTATTTATTTATTTATTTTTGAGATGTCTTGCTCTTGTTGCCCAGGCTGCAGTGCAATGGTGCAGTCTCTGCTCACTGCAACCTCCAACTCCCAGGTTAAAGCGATTCTCCTGCTTCAGCCTTCCAAGTCCCTGGACTTACAGGTGCCCGCAACCACAACCAGCTACCTTTTTGTATTTTTAATAGAGACAGAAATTTGCCATGTTGGCCAGGCTGGTCTCGAACTCCTGGCCTCAGGTGTTCCACCTGCCTTGGCCTCCCAAAATGATGGGATTACAGGCTAAGGTCCATCTTAATGCAACTTTTCTTGACCATGTTAATGTTCGTCAACAATCCTCTCTTATGAATTCCTAGCATTGTTTTCAATTCTGTAAAGTAGCACTAAGCTACCTACTATATGTTAGAACCACTGCTTTAAGTAGGCAAGTTTCTCTTCCAATTTTATGGCAAGCTATTTCAAGTTTGAAAATATGTACCTTACTACTACTGCATTTCCATGAAGCCTATTATGAATCTGGACTCAAAAGATACTAACTAAAAATATGTTAATTCCATTTCTACCTAGGATGTAGAAACCTGGAAAGAACATTTTTACACTAACAAGGACAAGGCAGATAGACAACTATAACTTTCCTTGAATCTACTAGTAAGTTTGGCTTACAGAACACCCAAAGGTCTGTGAAAATATATTCAAAATGAAAGTAAGAGAAAGCCTTCCTTAGACAAACAAAACTGAAAGAATTTACTGTACTATAAGGAATGTTTTTAAAATGCCCTTGAAAGGAAAAAATATACAATACTAGATAGAAATTCGAATTTTTAGAGAGAAGTAAAGAGTTCTGAGAGTGCAATAAAGTGATGGTAAATATAAAACTTTTTTAAAAATCTATTTTAAGTTCACAGGTACAAGTACAGGATTGTTACATAGGTAAACTGTGTCATGGGGGTTTGTTGTGCAAATGAAAACTATTTTTTTATTTTAAATTGCAATGAGAGATGGATTTCTAAAGCAGAACAAGTAATGTATTGTGTATTTTTGGTGATATAAAGTTAAACATATGATAATAGCATAGTAGATGGGAAGGAAGAGTTAGAGCCATACACTTAACAGGTCTGTACACGACATGTGCAGCAGTGTACAACTATTTCAAGATAAACTGATGGGTAGAGATGTATTATTAAATCCTCAAGTAACCATGGAAAACAGTGTTACCAATAAAAACTAAAAATGGAGATAAATACAATTATTTTAAAAAACTTTTTTTTTCCTTAAGGCCAAAAACCAAAGACTATATGGAATAGAAAACACCAAGAGGGAACATTTTTAGTTCAACAATGTCAATTATTATATTGCATATAAATGATCTAAATTTAAAAAATAAAAGACCATTAGTCAGATTTGGTGAAAAAGTAAAACCCAAGTACATACTGTCTACCAGAAATCTTCTCTAAACATAAAGAAATACACAGATTAAAAAGTAAAGGATGTATCATCCTACATTAGTCATAAAATGTTGAAATAACCATAATATCCAACAAAATAGGCTTCAAGGAATATTTTACAGATATGTATTTCAGGATCCTGACATGATGAAAGGGTCAATTTTCCAAGAAGACATAAGAACTAGACTTATCTATACAACTATACGTATCTATCTAACAACAGAACTTCAAAAAACATGAACTTAAATCTTAGAGGATTGAAAGAAGAAACAGGCAGATTTATAATTATACTTGGTTACTTCAATGTGCTCTATCCATTAAAATTTAAATGACCCAAATATACAAAACATTAACTTGACATGATTGACAATTATAGAAAACACCATTCAGCCACAGGAGGTAATTATTTTCTAGCTTATAGGAAGTATTGAACAGGATCAAACCTCTAAATAACTACAAATATTAAAATTCCATGAAGTATTTTTGCAACCCCGATAGAATTAAACAGAAAATCAACAATAGAAATTATTACAGCACACTTAAATGTATGAATCAAAGAAGAGATTAAAAATATTTTTGAACTAAACAAAAATAAAAGCACACATAACTATCTTGCATAAGCGGTGCATGGTGGGAAATTTATAGCATTAAAGAATAAATTTGATGCAGAATGAGTAGAAGGATAGAAATAAAAACAGAAATCGATAAAATTGAGAGCAGAAAAACAGAGCACCAATGAAATCAAACGCTGCTTTTTCTTTAAAGAAGTTCCATAAACTAAGAAACTCCTAGCCAGACTGACCACAAAAAAGGACACACAATAATAACAATAGGAATGAGAGAGAGAGGATGTCATTTTAAAAATCTGTAAATATTGAATGAATAAAAAAGGTTATTAACAGATTTTTGTCATCTTTAATAAACAGATTTCTTTAAAGACATGAACTACCAATGTTCAAGCAGAGATAGACCTGAATGGAAGAAATTAAAGGTGTAGTTAAAAATCATTCCAAAAGAAAACTCCAGTTCCATATGGTTTCACTCGTGTATTGTATCAAACATTTTAGAAAGTAATAGTACCAATTGTACTTCAATATTTCAGAAAATCAAACAGGTGGAAGCATATCCCATCTCATTCATGGCTAACTTTACTATGATAATAAAACCTAAAAATACATATTACAGGAGAATAATATTACAGACCAATAATACTCATGAATATAGATGCAAAGACTCTAAAGATATATTAACATGTTGAATTAAACAATATGTTTAAAAGATAATGCATTATGACTATGTTGCATTTACCCTGGAATGTAACATTAGTTGAACATTTGAAATCAATGTTATTTACCATGTCAACAGACTAAAGGAGAAAAACTATCATGATCTTCCCTACAGATTTTTGAAAAAGCATTTGGTAACCGTAAATGATAGAACCAACGGTTTGTTATCATACAAACCTGAACGATGCCAACAGAATGATAAGGAGAGCACATTGTAGACATAAATGCAAGACCCACAGTCGTTCCGGAAAGTTCTGTGGCTCTGCAAGAAAGGAATAAGTTGATACAACAAATTATGCTTAGCTCTATTTTTATAGGCAATTCATCCAAAACTCTTAATGGTTAGCAGAAAAACTCACTGTGAACCATCACTCTCATATTTTTCTTCAGTTTCTGTATTTGCATAAGGCATTTTTCTATAAAATGGCTGTTGTATCACTTAAGATCCAAACACCTAGATATAATCATGTTGCATAGTTTCTGTCGCTTCTGATTATAACACTTTTCATGGTGAAATAGATCCCTTGTGAAGAAAAAGATCCTAATATTTGTGTATATCTTCTTTTGATATTAGCATTACCACACATGCTTTGTTGTTATTTATATTTTATTCATGTATTTTTAAATCATGTACTCTTGTTTTACATTAGCACTGTTTTCGCTACAGGAGGTTTAGAGATTGGGCACATTTTGAAAGCATTTGTATTATTAATCATTTATATTATTCACATTTTTATACTGGAGAGGGGTTTGAATCATTTGCACTTATGTAGATACTGTGTTTTATCTTTAGTAATTTTGATTTTCCTTTTTGGTTCCTTATAATTTTTCTATTAATCTTTAGTAATTTCATGCTCTTTCCTTTTAGTTTCTTGGCTGTCTGTACAAGATCCTGGCTCTTACTTGTGTCTAGAAATTTGCAGTTTGCATCAAGTTTTTAATTTCCTTAGAAGATGTATTTACATGGGAAATTGAACCTGTATTTTCCCATAAAACAATATTAAAAATAGAGAATATCAATTCTGCTATATAAGTAAAATGAGAGAAAACCATCCAACTTTCCATTTCCTGCAGATTTTGTCTCTCTCATCTGATTTCAGATACTTATTTTAAAAATATATTTTACATTATACATATTTAAAAGATTTATGATAGCTGTATTTTCTTTTAAAATTATATCATAAAGTTGTTTATACTTTATTCTTCATTTTTGTGATTTCAATTCTCCCCACTTGCTCATTTGCAAAAAATAACAATTCCTTTATTTTGGAGTTACCTATTTTGGTATATCTTTTAAGTGAATACAGTATATTTTGATGCACATTTACCTACTTATACCTAAATATAGGTATCTTTTGTTGATTTGGTAAATGGTAAGACTTGAATTGCATAACTGGAAGAACAAATATTCCCTTTCATTGTATCTTTAATCTGTTTTCATTTTTTTCTGATCTCTTCAAGGAATCTATTATTGGCATGTAACACCATTTATTTTTACCTATACATTTATCATCTCATCTATTATTTTTAACCTTCTACACTAATACTGTACAGTGATGGAATATTCAGCAATGTGTCTGGCTCTGGTGCCAGGCTGGTAAGAGTTCAAGTCCCTCACTACTTACCAGCTATGAGACCTTGGAAAGTCACTAAGCACCCCCAACAAGAATGGGCTCTTGAATCTAAAAATCACCTTTCTAAGTTAAGAAATTGTATCAGCTACTTTCCAAAGATGGCCCCCTAATGAACCAGACTTGCAGTATTCTCAGCCTGAGCAGTGCCTTCTCCTTGAATCTGGATTGCCCCCACCACTTACCCTTGATTAAGAGACTGTACCAGTAGTGACACCCTGTGACTTTTGTAGTTAGGTCATAAAAAACCTTGATGCAATATCTTGTGCATCTTGAAATGCTTATTCTGAGAAAAGCTAGACACCTAGTGAATAAGTCTGCCTACTCTAAGATAGCCATATTGAAGGAAGCTCAAGTTAGGCACATGAAAGGCAATATAGAGAGAGACATGACCAACCAGACTCACTGTTTCAGCCAAATGAGCCCAGATGCCAGTTACATCAGTGAAGAAGCCTTATTTGAAGCCCAGAAATTCTGGGCTCATTTGTTACACAGTAACAGATGACCAGTACAGAAATATTAACTAATTCTGGCAGGACATAGTTCACTGATTTCCCATGAAATTCGTGGTTTTCTTGGGTAACAGACTCTCCAGTAACTTCAAGTCAATTCTTACTGCTTCCTTCTATCTAATTTCAACTAAATATTATTCGGCTATCCAGCAGCATTTTCTTGACTCTTTTGAGATACATGCTCCATTCTCATAAAATTTACAGCCATTAGATTTATTTCCCATATTCTTAACTGGTCATTTCAGCAGGAAGTAAATTAGGGAAAATGCGAGGCTTATAATATAACACTCAATTTTTCTTCTCATAATACCTTAGAGGTTTCTTCTAACTTGAGCCTAAAGTAGATCAGTTCTTTTTTCAACACTAAATCAAAAACTCTCTTACATAACCTTGTCTTTTCTTCCTGTATACCCAATAAAAACAAACTTTTTGCGAATCATTGCTAAATATTTGGCCCTGTCTTCTTTGAACAGAAGAGATTATTTGGATCCAAAATAAGTACATATTTGACATACAATCCAAGTAAGTACTTTATAAATGTCTACTCTCCTGTGTGTATATCTCACTTTGCCAAGGCTCAGAAAAGCTACCACTGAATACCACATAGTGTGCAATGGAGGAAAATCTGTACATACGTGATTAACTGAGCAATATCATGATGCTTTCTTCTCGAGAGAACACTCCCTCTCCATTTAGAAAAATTTTCCAAGGTGAAGCTTGCATTTGAGGTTATCTTTATCTTATCCTGGTCAGTCCAGATTTCCATACCAACTAAGGCCACATGAGTATTGAGCTTTTTATAAAGCTGTCCAAAGACAATATATGGCAAAGAATGACTTATAATGGTATCATTTTTAAACATTTTCAATGTATTTTACATTTTTAAAGCTTTATAACAGCAATATATAAAAACCTTATTTCCAAGCATAATTGTAAACAGAATGTATCTATTATTTTGTAGACACTAAAACTCCCTTTCAAACCAAAAACAGATACACTAAGATAGTTTAGGTCTATAAACTCCTTTTTATGGGGAAAAAAAGGCCCTGTTAAGACAAAATATTCCTTCTTGTGCTCCTAAGAAATACTTTTTTTGTGTCAGTGGCCCATGATTATGGCTTCAATTGCCTGTATGTTTTTCAGTGCTCCTGGAGTCAGAATATTTGAGAATTAGCAAAGTCGGCTCAGTGCCAGTAGAGGCATTCGCAAAGTAACCTGATACGATGAAATGTTGTACATTGATGCATTTACAACAAGCTAAGTAGTTGCTATAGTTTAAATGTTTGTATCTCCTAAAATTTTTATGTTGAAATCCTAAACTCCAAGGTGATGACGTTATTAGGAGGTGGGACCTTTGGGAAGTGATTAGGTCATGAGAGTGGGGCCTCATGAATGAAATACTGGTTTTTCCCTTCCATAATGTCAAGGCACAGTGAGAAAGCAGCTGACAATCTTCACCAGAAACTAAATCTTGGTGGAACTTGACTTGGACTTCCCAGCCCCCAGAACTGTGAACAGTAAGTTGCTGTCATTTATGAGCTACCCTGTTTATGTATTTTCAGACTGAGACAATGGTCCTCTGATCTTAAACATGGATTGAACCAAATAACCCACAATGCACATGGGATAAATTTTAGAAACAATGAGTTAAGCTTATGACACAATATGCTTATTCCAAGGATAAAAGCTGAAATTACTACTCTAGTTTCAGCTATAAAAGTGCACAGTGACAGACATTCTCACCAGCAACTTTCTGCTAAAAACCTTAAATATTGATTTTTTTAAAAAGATAGTTTGGTAAACAAGAAAAACTTTGAGGAATGCAGTCACTGAAAGTGAAGTTAAAAATTCAGCCATGTTATCATCCTTCACTTGATTATTCCCTTAACTCCTCAACTTCCTTGTTCCTGTCTTGCTTAATTTTACTCATCTCACAAAACTCCAATCCTGGTTAGAAGCTACTTGCCCCTACATGTCTCCTCCTTCTGCCCTTGAACACAGGGGAAAACACATCACATTGTTTTGATTGCTCACTTTGAAGCTGTGACTGTTAACCTCAAGTAGTCCTTAACACTCTCTGGCAAAATTGCTTTATTTTAAAATTCCATTTACCAACTGTTTTCTGCACACCTTTTTAATACTCTTCTTTCTTAATAATTTGGACATTTTCTTTAAATCAGACTTTCACAGTTGTCCTTACTTCCACATTCACTGAGAGTTTAAAAGCAATCTGAAGGGAACGTCCATAAGCTCCTACCACCAGACTATCTCCTGACCTATTCTTGTCCAAACTCCCTGCACCTCCCTATCTGTTATATGAATGAACAACCTCTGAGTGTAAGGCCAGTTTCTGCACTCATGTACTAAATGCTCCATATCTTCCCCCACTCTAGATTATTCCAACAATTCTGTCTTTCCTGCATGTTTAGCCCTTCACAAATTATTCCCATCAGTATAGAAAATAAATTAGTTTTTTTCACATATATTGACTATGGTAATCACTTCCCTATGTATATGTACATCAAAATAAGTATATTATGGCATTATGTTTTACAACAAAAAATCAGAGCATTTATAGGATACCACAAAGAGACTAATTCATTTCAAAATAAGTATGCTAACTATATATCCAACTAACAGAAAACTAAGAATTAGTACTTAATATTAAAGATTGTAAAATCATTTTTAAAATATTTTGGAAACTAGAAAACACAATCATGTCTAAAGAACACAGTCAACAGTTGTATGACTCAAATGGGTTTGGAAATCTGACAGATCTATATTGAAACTTCATGGCTATCCTTTTCTCACTTTGTGATCTTAGACAGGTTACTTTGTTTCTGAGAATATGTTTCCTTAGTTCTACATTAGGCTTTGGTAATATTTAGGATTGTTCTGGAGATTACATGAGATAACTGTTTATGAAATATGCTATTGTGGACAGTGCTTGACATTTTTTAATTGTTTCCCCTCTGGACCAGCTTTCTGTTGGGATCTGGTCTCCAGTGTTTTCTTAATTTCTTTTTTTTTTTTAATTTATTTATTTTACTTTAGGTGCATAGTATATCTGGCATTTCTCCCCATGTTATCCCACTCCACCCTTCCCTCCCTCCCCATTCCCCGCTGTCTCTCCCCTACCCTCCCAACTGCCTCCAGTGTGTGATGTTCCCCTCCCTGAGTCCATGTGTTCTCCTTGCTCAACACCCGCCTATGAGTGAGAACATACAGTGTTTGGCTTTCTGTTCTTGTGTCAGTTTGCTGAGAATAATGGTTTCCAGATTCATCCAAGTCCCTACAAAGGACACGAATTCATCAATTTTTATGGCTGCATAGTATTCCACAGTGTATATATACCACATTTTCTTTGTCCAGTCTATAATTGATGGGCATGTGGATTGGTTCCAGGTCTTTGCTATTGTACATAGGGCTGCAATGAACATACGTGTGCAAGGGTCTTTATAGTAGAATGATTTATAGTTCTTTGGTATATACCCAGTACTGGGATTGCTGGGTCAAATGGAATTTCTATTTCTAGATCCTTAAGAAATCGCCACACTGTCTTCTACAATGGTTGAACTAATTTACACTCCCACCAACTGTGTAAGAGTGTTCCTGTCTCTCCACATAATCTCCAGCATCTACTGTCTCCAGATTTTTTAATGATCACCATTCTAACTGGCATTAGATAGTATCTCAGTGTGGTTTTGATTTGCATTTCTCTAATGACCAATGATGATGAGCATTTTTGCATATGTTTGTTGACCTCATATATATCTTCTTTTGAAAAACGTTCATATCCTTCACCCACTTTTGAATGGGCTTGTTTTTTTCTTGTGTATCTGTTTTAGTTCTTTGTACATTCTGGATATTAGCCCTTTGTCAGATGGGTAGATTGCATAAATTTTTTCCCATTCTGTTGGTTGCCAGTTCACTCTAATGATTGTTTCTTTTGTTGTACAGAAGCTCTGGAGTTTAATTAGATCCCATTTATCTATCTTGGCTTTTATTGCCATTGCTTTTGGTGTTTTAGTCATGACGTCCTTGCCTATGCCTATGTCCTGGATGGTTTTGCCTAGGCTTTCTTCTAGTGTTTTTATGGTGTTACGTTTTATGTTTAAATCTTTGATCCATCTGGAGTTAATTTTAGTGTAAGGTGACAGGTAGTGGTCCAGTTTCTGCTTTCTGCACATTGCTAGCCAGTTTTCCCAACACCATTTATTAAACATGGAGTCCTTTCCCCACTGCTTGCTTTTGCCAGGTTTGTCAAAGATCAGATGGTTGTAGATGTGTAGTGTTTATTCTGGGGTCTCTGTTCTGTTCTATTGGTCTATGTCTCTGTTTTGGTACCAGTACCATTCTGTTTTGATTACTGTAGCCTTGTAGTATAGTTTGAAGTCTGGCAGTGTGATGCCTCTGGCTTTGTTCTTTTTGCTTAGGAAGGTCTTGGCTATGTGGGGTCTTTTGTGATTCCATATGAAGTTTAAAGTGATTTTTCCAGCTCTGTGAAGAAGGTCAGTGGTAGCTTGATGGGGATAGCATTGAATCTATAGATTACTTTGGGCAGTATGGCCATTTTCACCATTTTAATTATTCATAACCATGAACATGGAATGTTTCTCCATCTGTCTGTGTCCTCTCTTATTTCATTGAGCAGTGGTTTGTAGTTCTCCTAGAAGAGGTCCTTTACATCCTTTGTTAGTTGTATTCCTAGATATTTTATTCTCTTTGTAGCAATTGTGAATGGGAGTTCACACTTGATTTGGCTCTCTTTAAGTCTGTTATTGGTATACAGGAATGCTTGTGATTTCTACACATTGATTTTGTATCCTGAGACTTTGCTGAAGTTGCTTACCAGTTTGAGAAGATTTTGGGCTGAGACAATGGGGCCTTCTAGATATACAATCATGTCATCTGCAAATAGAGACGGTTTGACTTTTTCCTTTCCTAATTGAATACACTTTCTTTCTTTTTCTTGCCTGATTGCTCTGGCTAGAACTTCCAATACTATGTTGAATAGGAGTGGTGAGAGAGGGCATCCTTATCTAGTGCCTGATTTCAAAGGGAATACTTCCAGCTTTTGCCCAATCAGTATGATATTGGCTGTAGGTTTTTGGTATGCAGCTTTTATCATTTTTTGATACATTCTGTCAATACCTAGTTTATTGAGAGGTTTTTTTAGCATAAAGGGCTGTTCAATTTTTTCGAAGGCCTTCTCTGCATCTATTGAGATAATCATGTGGTTTTTGTCTTCGGTTCCATTTATGTGATGGATTACATTTCTGGATTTGAGTATGTTGAACCAGCCTTAAATCCCTGGGATGAAGCCTACTTGGTCGTGATGGATAAGTTTCTTGATGTGCTGTTGCAATCTGTTTGCCAGTATTTTATTGAAGATTTTTGCATTGATGTTCATCATGGATATTGGCCTGAAGTTTTCTTTTTTAGTTGAGTCTCTGCCTGGTTTTGGTATCAGGATGATGTTGGTCTCATAAAATGAGTTAGGGAGGATTCCCTCCTTTTGTATTGTTTGACAGTTTCAGAAGGAATGGAACCAGCTCCTCTTTGTATATCTGGTAGAATTTGGCTGTGAACCTACCTGGACTTTTTTTTATTGGTAGGCTATTGATTGCTGCCTCTAATTCAGCCCTTGTTATTGGTCTGTTCAGGGTTTCAACTTCCTCCAGGTTTAGGCTTGGTAGAGTACAAGTGTCTAGGAATTTATCCATTTCTTCCTGGTTTTCTGGTTTATATGAGTAGAACTGTTTGTAGTAATCTCTGATGGTAGTTTGTATTTCTGTGGGATCAGTGGTGATATCCCTTTTATTGTTTTTTATTGCATCTACTTAATTCTTCTCCCTTTTCTTTTTTATTAATCTGGCTAGTGGTCTATTTTGTTGATCTTTTCAAAAAACCAGCTCCTGGATTTACTGCTTTTTTGAAGAGTTTTTTGTGTCTTTATCTCCTTTAGTTCTGCTCTGATCTTATTTCTTGTCTTCTGCTAGATTTTGGTCTTCAGCATTTTCTTAGTGAATTTTTGGAAAACACAATGCACCCAAATACAACCGGTTTTTATGTCCTCTGATACCTGAGAATAGTGTGGCAGGTAAGTAAGAAACGTGTTGGTTTGTGGCATTAATATTCATGTTCACGTAAGTAGCAAAAGTTGTGGTCATGCCAGTCAGCCACATCGGACTCAGGGGCCTTGTCTTTCCCTCCCTGTTTCATGTGCATTCATTGAAAAACCCAAAGGCATCTCCTAGCAAACTGTTTAAAACTGCATGTAATAAAATATGTCTTACCATGTTGACATAATTAGCCATCTCAAACACCCTCTTTCTGATCTCATCTTGATCCTCATTGTACTTTTTAAACTAAAAGAAAAATTAAGAAAGAATATGGACATTGATAAAAATTAATATACTTGAAAGGTTAAAAAAGCAACTTCTCTTATGTTACTATTGATTTTAATTAAAGATTAGCTATTAAAGTTAATTAAAAGTTAGAATTATATTGATACCTATTCATCTAGCTATATTAAAGGACTTGGGGAGTGAATAAGATGTTTCTCTTCTGAAGTACTAGTTCAGTATAACGCTCTAAAGAATTTTTCCAAATGTATTTTCCCTTAAATTCTATGATTTTCTAAGCTGTACAGATTTAGCAAAAGAAATATCTTATTAATTTAAGAGATAAATATATGGACAGTACATGAATTAAGCACAATAAGTAAGGTTAGAGCTTTACGGCCTGAGCTAATAGTTAACTTACATTTCCTTACATGTGTGGATTCCACATTTAGAAAATCCAGTGTATGAAAATGCAGTGTTATATAAAACAGTGACTATCACCAAAGATTTGCCTTTTCAGAGGATTCGATTCACTAAGCTTTTATATTGACCAATATAAGCTTTTATATTGTATCCTTAATGAGAATAATTTCTAATTTACAAATGATTTAACAACTTAACAAAAGGCAAAATGACAGAAGAATTTAATTGGAAACTAAGTTAGGTGCTATAAAGTCAATAAGAAAATAGCATTATAAGGGCCAACAATTCAATTTATGCATATCAGATCAATTGCCCTGATATCTCCAAAAGGAAGAAATCATGTCAGCTTAATTTCAAATGTCAAATTTCATAGGTTTAGAAAAATTTGTAACCATATCTCATATTTGTGATTCTTTAAATCTCATCCAGACATTTCATATTTCACATAATAAATATATGTAGATGGGAGTTTTGAAGCACAACATATTTATCTCATATACTTACCTCACCATTATCCAGGACTAGATAATATTCTATATATTTCTCATGTTTACGAACCTTCCCATCATTCAATTTCTGAAATGTAAAGAGAACAATTACCAATACAATATCTTTTTCCACACAAGTTAGTCTATTATTTGACATGTGTAATTTTATAAGCTGTTGGTTGATACCTGTTTGATATCTGGAGTAAAGGCAGACAATATTAGCGTTTTAAGACTAACTCAACAGGCAGGATTATCTACCAACAAGGCTCAGAATTTTAGAGTTGAAGGAGCACCGTAATATTCTGGTCTGAGTCATTTTATCAAGGAGTCTAAATTATTATGTTACTAATAGGTGAGCTAGACATAAAACCAAAGTCTCTCTATTGTTTTAAACAGTAGACTTCTTCACCATCCTGAAACAAAATAGAGAAACATTGACTTCAGCATTTTCCTAGTGTTTTAGTTTGTTTTTTGTTTTCTTTGGTAGCCTTTAATTCATGTCTTCATGTAGTATCTGCTCCTTTACCAATGGTGCAATGCAGAGACACCATTGTTTCTAGTCTACATTGTTCTCTTCAGGCAAAGTTGAATCTCCTTTCCATGTTTCAAACTGACCAATGCTCTCTTCCTTTTTCTCTCTCAAAAAGAATAGTTACCTAGTGGATTATCTCATTGAAGAGGGGCAGATACATTATTCTTACTAAATAATAATAGCCCATCAAAATTTATTGGATTGCATTTCTGGAAGTGTGTGTCTTTTAATAGGTAGCTAAAGTTCCATTAAAAAAGTTTCTGAAGATAGACTTTTAGATATTATCTAATGAGACATGTAGTTACTTCCTACCTTTCATGGGAACAAAATAATTATTAGCATTCAGTATACAGTGAGAGTGCTCTGGGAACTACAAATGCAGCAGTGAAATAAACATGGTCCATCTGCTGATGGAGCGCGTAAGTGTCAAACATAGATGTATCAGATGGTGACCAGTGCTATGTGGATGATTAAAGTGGGCATGTGATATTGAGTTACTAGGTAGTTATTTCAGAATAGGTGAAATATTCTAAAGAATTAGCCCTGGGATCAGGGGGACGATCCAAGATGGCCAAATACAAACAGCTCCCCAATCTAGTTCCCAGGGAGAACAGTGCAGAGGGTGAGTGCTCACTGCATTTCCAAACAGGTTTTCACTGCCCACAGATCACAAGATCCCCCAGGCCGAGCTGGTACTGGGTGGGTGCACAGAAACTCACACATGTCTGGGTGGCCATTTCAACTGGTGCCTCGAATGCCTGGGAGACAGCTGCCCATTCAACTGAAATGGAGGGGGCTGAGACAGCGAGCCAGGTGATCTGGCTCAGCAGCTACCACCGCTACAAAACAAGCAATCTGAAATGATCTGGATTGAGAGTTTTGCAGCAAGTGCAGCTGGACCCAGGACGGTCCTGCCCACTGGGGTGAAAGGCATCCCCCACTACCGAGGCAGTCCGCCAATACCCAGGCAGGTCACACAGTAGCTGGGCAGAGCCTGCAGCAGCTCAGCAACACCTCTACTGACAGACTGACTAGACTACTCTGTGTGGGGCAGGGTATCTATGAAAAAGAGCAGCAGCACCACAAGAGCTTAAAATAAAGCCAACCTTCCTAGGACAGAGCACCTGGGAAAAGAGGTGGTTATGAGTTAAGCTGCAGCAGACTTAAAGGTACCTGCCCAGCAGCTCTGCACAAAACAACAGAGCTCCCAGCACAGCACTTGTGCTCCTGTAAGGGACAGACTGTCTCCCCAAGCAACTCCCCAACCCCCATATACCCAAAGAGACACCTCATAAAGGAGAGCTCAGGCCAACATCAGGTGAGTTCCCATCTGGGACAACGCTAACAGAGGAAGAAACTGGTGGCAACCCTTGCTGTTCTGCAGCCCCCGCGGGTGATCCCCAGGCAAGCAAGGTCTGGAGTGGACCTCCAGTGGTCCTGCAGCAGAGAGGCCTGACTGTTAGAAGAAAAACTAAGAAGCAGAAAGAAATAGTTTCAACATCAACGAAAAGGACATCCACTCAGAGACCCCATACAAAAGTCACCAACTACAAAGACCACAGGTGGAAAAAGCCACCAGCGCAAGAAAGAAACCAGTGCAAAAGGATGAAGAAACCAGTGCAAAAAGGATGAAATCACCAAAATCCAGAATGCTTCTTCTCCAAGGGATCACAGCTCCTTACCAGCTAGGGATCAAAGATGGATAGAGAATGAATCTGATGAATTGACAGAAATGGGCTTCAGAAGGTGGGTAATAACAAACTTCTCAGAGCAAAAGAACATGTGCTAACCCAAAGCAAAGAAATTAGGAACCTAGAAAAAAGGTTAGATGAGATGCTAACTAGAATAAACAGCTTAGAGAAGAATATACCTCTATATATTTGACACTCACCCCTACTTTTTAAAATTCCTATACATTTTGTTAATTGTTTACTTTGCTGTGAAGAAGCTTTTTAGTTTGATATAGTCTCTTTTTAAAAATTGTTTACTTTTGTAACTTTAGCTTTTAGGTATGATATCTGAGAAATCATTGTCAAGGTTAATGTCAAATGGACTTTCTGCTCTATTTTCTTCTAGACTTTTATGGATTTAGCTATTAAATTTAGGTATCATATTTATTTTTATTTGATTGTTATGGTATGAGAAAAGGGTTCCATTTCATTATTTTGCATGTGCAGATCCAGTTTTACCATGAGTGTGTTTATTGAAGAGACTCTCCTTTCCCCAGTGTGTCTTTTTGGTGACCTGGTCAAAAATTAATTGACCATATATGTTTGGATTTATTTCTGAGCTTGCTATTCTGTTCCACTGGTCAGGGTGTCTGCTTTCATGTCATCATCATATTGTTCTGATTACTATATCTTTATAACTTTAAATCAGGTAATATGATGTCTACAACTTTTTTTTTCTCAGAATTCCTTTGGCTATTTGGGATATTTTGTGGTTCCATACATATTTTAGTATTGCTTTTTTCTTATTTCTGTAAATACTGTCATTGGGTTTTATAAGGATTGCATTGACTCTACATGTTGCTTTAGGTAGTATGAACATTTTAACAGTATTTTTCTAATTCATGAGCATAGGATATTGATTTATTTGCATTTTCTTCAATTTCCTTCATCAGTGTTTTCTAGTCTGTAGGTTATATTTTTCTAGGAATTCATTTATTTTCTCTAGGCTATCAAATTTATTGACAAATAATTGTTCACAGTAGTCCCTTACTATGTAACTGTACTGTGTACTGGTCTTCATCTCCTTAGTAAAATGTATTCTTCAGTATTATTTGTGTTATGAATGGAAATATTTTCTTGATTGGATTTTTGGCTAGATTGTTATTTGTGTATAGAAATGTCACAGAATATGTATGTTGATTTTATATCCTGCAACTTTATTGAATTTATTAGAGTTAGTGGTTTGCCAGTGGAGTCCTTAGGGTTTTCTATATATAGAATCATTTCATCTGCAAATAGAGGTAAATTTACTTCTTCCTATCCAAGTTGAATGATTTTTTCCTTTCCTTTTCTCTATGTTTCTAATAGTACTTATGGTACATGTTTAATAGAAATGATGAGAGTAGGCGTCCTTGCCTGGGACCAGAGGAATGGCTTTCTATTTCTCCTTTCTGATTATGATGTTATCAGTGGGTTTCTATAAATGGATTCTAATTTAAAAAATAAATAAGGAAAAAGAAGAGTGGGCAGATAATCCTTATTGTTTGGCTTGAGACATATTTTAGGGTGTAACATCATTCTAGGTTCAAATAAAATAATGCAAAAGTGTTCTTAAATTTTCATTATTGTTTAATCATCAACAGCTACATTGCACACTATTAACAGTTGTGTGGTTGCTGAAAGCCTGTGATTATGTGCATTTCATCACAACTTTCTTATCAAAACTTCAAACCCAACTAAGCCAAGGACACAGGTAAATATTAAATGAATTTCAGAAGAAAACCCACATATTTAAGTGAGTACTTACTTCCATGAAGAAAGAATATAAGAATGACAAAAGCTCTGAAATGTAACTGGCATGTAAAAATGTTTCCTGATTATGAACTATCAACTTAGATATAGTTTTGGAAAAACATGGTCCTGGGTGCTATAGGACATTTACAAATATCCTAAATCAAGAGAACTTGTAGCATGGTATATGAATAAAATAAGGTATATTCGACTGCTAAAAAATAAAAATAAATAAATGACCTTTATGATGTTGAGGAACTTCTATGCCTAAACTCTCAAACTTTTAATCAAGAAAGCATGTTGCCTTTTCCCAATCGATAAGATCATGTGTGTTTTGTCTTTCAGTCTATTAATGTGATTGATATATTACATTGACAAATTTGTGTATGTTAAGTCCGTATGCCAAAGATAAAATCCATTTGATTACGATGTATAATCTTTTGGATGTATTGTTGAATTTGATTTACTAATACTTTACTGAAAATGTTTTCCTCAATGTTTGTCAGAATTCTTGACCTGTAGTTTTCTTTTCTTTGGTGTCTTTGTCTTACCTTAGGTATAAAGGTGATACTGGCTTATAGAAAGTGTCAAAAAGTACACCTTCCAGCTCCTTTTTTTTTAAATTTAGAAGTATTGGTAATAATTATTTTTAGAATGTTTGATTCAATTCAGCTCTAGAGTCATCTAGGTCTTGGCTTCCCTTGTTGAAAGATTTTTAATTACTATTTTAATATCCCTGTAATTGGTCTTTTCAGGCTTTCTACTATTTTCTGATTCAACCGTGATAGGTTATGTTTTTCTATGTATTCATCTATTTTCTCTAGGCTACCAAATTTATTGACAAATAATTGTTCATAGTAGTCCTTTAAGATTTTCTTTAATTTCTGAGGCATTTTTTGTAATAGCTCCACTTTCATTTCTGATTATATACATTTGAGTTTTCACTCTTTTTCTCTTAGCCTAGCTAAGAGTTTGTCTATTTTGTTACTATTGGCATGGAATATGTTCTTCCATCTTTTTACTTTCTGCCTACACATGTCTTTAAAGCTTAAATGTTTGTCTCTTGGAGGCAGCACATAGTTGGATCTTGTTTTTTTCCATCCATTCAGCTACTCTTTATCTTTTGATGGATAATTTAATTCATTTACATTTCTTGTAAGAACTTATAGGTAAGGATCTACTAATTCCATTTTGTCTTATAGGTTTTTTTTTTTTTTTCCTATAGGTTCATTTTTTTCCTCCTTTGTTTATCTTTGTGATTTGGTGATTCTTCTGTAGTGCTGTATTTTTATTCTTTTCTGTCGTTTGTATCTTCTATAGAATGTTTTTCTTTGTATTTACCATGAGGTTTACATAAAACATCTTAGAGTTGTAATGTAGTATCTTATATTGATAACAACTTAAGTTCAGTCATGTATGAAAACTCCAGACTTTAATCCTCCCCTCGACAATTTATACTTTTAATGTCACAATATGAACATTTTATATTATATACTTAACAAGTTATTATGATTATTATTTTTGATTCATTTTATTAAGTTTCATGCTAGAGATACATGGGATCAACAGAGCATGTAAAAGTATTGGCGTATTCTGGATTTAACTATATATTTCCATTTACCAGTGAACTTGCTGGTAGAATTTAAACCTGCAGTAAATTAAACTGATGAGAAATTTTATTTTGGCCAATTCTGCCCAGTGCTTACAGAGTCTGAGAACATTTAAAAGAAATGATTTGAAGTAAATCTTGGAAATAAAAATAATATCAACAAGGAAAATAAAAGTAATGTCTACAAACATACTTTAATATACTTTACAGTGTAAAACACAAAACTATATATTCATTTTTTTTCCTAGGACTTGAAGCAGAATTCCACACTTAAAATAATATTCTAAGTTCCTGTAGGCAGAGTCTATGTCTGTTTTGCTCATTTCTATCTTCCCAGCACCTGAGACAGCACTTTAAGAGAGATTTTTTTGAATGAATTTATGAGAGCAGGATGTTTTATTTCAAAATAAAAATAATCACTTCATAGCTTTTTGGCTAAAATGAAGAGCAAATTAATAATAATACTTTATATTTTTGTGCTTTATTGTAAGCTACATGGAATACTGTGACAGATGCCTGCTTCTAGAAGTCAGTTATATTTTACACTTATTTTTAACCTTTGTACATTGCTGATAATAATAATTGATAATAGTTAATTCCTAAGTACTTGTTAAATAAATCATTAACGTCTAGCAATATTTAAGGATTAGTGTCTCTATAACTTACCAATTTCAACAGTGACAATAGTTTCAGTAAATTGCACTGCTAATTCTGGAAAGCAGGGCAGAATACATGAGAACATTTCAAATAAAAAACAAAATTACACATACTACTAGTCTGGTGGCAGGTAGGGCAATGTTCTGCTGAAAATCATGGGTCCACAGCACACCATCCATCCCACAGGTGCTGTTAAGATTATTTTCATCAGGGTCATACTTGAAGAGTGCATGCTCCTGTTCATCCCGATTTATGGGGCTTAAAGCTTCAATAAAATATGTTTGATTCCCCTGATTGAAGTAGCCCCTGAAAAACAATAGTTTTTTAAAGGGTTCTGGCTTCTTAACAAAATATTACCACATTAGGTTCATACAGATTTATAAGATCCAAAAGAAGACCTTTAAAATTCCTAGTCATTGTCAAAAACAATTTAAGCTTATGGCAATAAAATATAGTAAAAATTATAGCTGAAGATACTTTGGAGATAATCTAAAGTTTTTTCTACAAGAAAATAAGACATACTAGGGAGAAGTGACTGCTGCAATGTCATGCAGGCAACCATATCAGTTGACTAGAATGAGTATATCCTGACACTTGGTCCAGCATTCTTGCAGTTTTAATACTATACTTGCTCTAAAGGTACACCTAAAATGAAAGAGATTTTAGAGTTTTATAGATAAGTGTTAAAATATTGGCTTTAGAACTTATTCATTGTGATTCATTGGGACAGTTCTTTAAACTCACAAGCCTCAGGTTTGCCACATTTATTTATTATGATACCTACCTAATATGGTGATAGTAAAGATTGAAAGTGAGAACATGTAAAGCACATACAAATCAACGTCTTCTCTATTTTATCTGGTAAAGCCTTGAACCAGGAGTAATTCAACCAATATTCATTGAGTACCCATTATTCATTAGGCATTAGACTAAGGATAGACAGTAAAAATAAAGTCATGATCTCTTTTCTTACGGAGCTTATGTTGAAATGAGGAAGATTGATGTGTATCAAATAATCACATAATATATATAATTACAGAGTAAGTACTTACATATAATTAGAATAGATAATTGGTGTCAAGAAAAAGTATGAGTATATAATCAACTAAATTAAGTGTACGTAAAATTAGATAATGGCAAGAGGGGATGTAAGAAGGTAAATTTTGTCCTTTATTGCAATGGTCTGCATAAGGAATCATGGTAGATGGACTAGAATGTTGTAGAAGAGACAAAATGAACAATTTCAGAAAGTATTGAGAAGATATAATCAATAAGACTTGGTGAGGGATTGAAAATGCAGGGCTGAGAGGCAAGCAGACCTCAAGGAATTTAGGTTTCTGAATTGGGCAAGTGATTATTTGATTATACCTTCAAGATAGAGAACATGGAAATAGTAACAGATTCAAGAGACAATCATTAGTTGTGTTTAGAGCACACTGAGATTGAGATTTATTTAAGATATCCAAGTAAAAATATGAAAAAGATTAGATAATCAAGTCTGGACATCAGAAGAACCACCTTACTGTGGACAGACACATGGTGTATCATTAACAGACAGAAATGTATGTCATAGTCATGGATAAGACAATCTAGAGAGAGAGTTAAAAGTGAGAAGAGAGTCTGGGTGTGGTGCCTCATGCCTGTAATCTCAGCAGTTGGGAGGCAGAGTCAGACAGATCACTTGAGGTCAGGAGTTTGAGACCAACCTGGCCAACATGATGAAACCCATGTCTACTAAAAATACAAAACTTAGCCAGGCCTGGTGGCAAGCATTTATAATCCCAGCTACTCAGAAGGCTGAGTCAAGAGAATTGCTTGAACCCAGGAAGCTGAGATTGCAGTGAGCTGAAATCGTATCATTATACTCCAGCCTCGGTGACAGAGACTCTGCCTAAAATAATAAATAAATAAAATGAGAAGAAAGAGAGAGCAGCTCCCATTCCCTAAAGATTCTTAGTCCATAACTGGGACTCAAAACCCTGTATATTTTAAATGAGCTAAGAAAATGTCTTTGAAAATAATTCACATATGCTATCAAGAGAAGTGGTGTTTCTTCAAATGTCAACATTTTATGGCCCTTAGGATGCATATTCAGCTATAGGAAAATTAATGATATTTGGGATTCATCTGGTTTTTAGATGCATACACAAATACCACAATCACAAGCGCATGCAAAACATTCCTGAAATCTTACCTTAGACCCCTACATGTGCTGATGCTAGCATCAGAAACCTTTTCATTAACAATATGTCCTTGATAATAACAATCATCCTAAAAGAAAAGGGGTTTTGTAAAAAGAAGTACATGTGAATTTTAGAGCCACTGCTAAAGTTGCATTTGAAATCGTGAAACAGGATTTTAAATGCTTCAAACCATATTCAGCTGAACAACAGTAAACTCAGAGATATTTATTAAATAAAATCTTTCATATAAGTTAAAATTGTTAGTTAATGTAAAAATGTAAAATGTTTACAAGGTATTAACCGTCAGTGTTGAGTAGGATGAATGTTAAAAATATTTAGAAGAAATATGTTTGGATATGTAAGTTTTAAACCTTACCCCTTAAAACACTGGGCATTCATTTTTCCTTTTTGCTGATTTCTCATTAACTTTTTCTAGCAAAGATCAACAAGCTTTTTTGCAAAGGGTGGGTTATTCAGATTGGGTTTTTGTTTTTAATTTCTTGATTTATCTAAAGTGTTCCATCAGATTAAGTGGATCAGCACATTTCTTGCCTCCATTTGGAGGAAGATGTCCTTCTTAACATTTTCTCATGTGGGTGTTCCATGAAGGATCTTTCTAGTTTGGGATAGATGAGGTGCTGGCCCATGTAAACTTGTATTATTGCTGTAGAGGAGACTGCTTGAAGGGCTTCTGATGGAAAAGGTAGCTCAGAAAAAGAAGTAATGGTGCATGACCCCTCATATGGCTACACACTGTCATCTACTCAGTCTAAGAAAAGATGGGCCATTAACAGGAGTCAAGAGAAATTGTTTAAGAAAAATAATTCTGCAATTGCCATTGAGGAAATAGTTTTGGTTTGAGAGACCAAAAGCCTAGAGAAATGACAAAATTGACTGAGAGAACCAGCAGTATGTAACTCTTCACTCTCAAGAAAATACCATGTTCCTTCTACCCACCCTTCTACATGAGTCCTTAAAGGCTACAAAAACTTACCAGAGTTGCCATGCAATGGTTTTGTTCTTGTTAAAATATAAAAAAAGAAAAGTGGGAGGTCAAGTATGTACTTACTGCTGTTGAAAAAAGTAGTAATGTTATATATGCAGTTTCACTTCTACTTCTTGCCTGGCAAGGACACTGCCTTTAGGTCTGTGGGTAAAACCCCTATTAAAGAATTGAAGAGAATCTGTTATACCATAATTTGTGGGCTTGTGGTGATCTCCTTTCCAGTGGAATTATAATAGGTTTCTGTGTAGCCTGGTGCAAGGAGATTCCTAGAGAAAAAAAAAACACAAAGATGTTGTGGTTACTTGTGGTGGTTGCAAAGTCCAGTGAACTTCCCTGGTCATTTGAGAGCAAAAGCTGATGAGTCCAAGTGTGTGTGACCCTTAAGCAATAACAGACTCGGCACACTCTCCACATGCTGCCTTGCTCTTGCTGAGGATAGTATCAAAGGTAAAGATACTTACTTGTTTTTTTTCAAATAAAGCACCGCAATTTTTCCATTAACTGTCATTTTATACTTTAATTCAGTTTCAAATTGTTCCTGCAAAAACGTACAAACACTTAGAATTAAAAACAGACACAAATATTCATTTGACTATTGTATTTCTATCTCTGTACTCATTAGCAAGCAGTATCTGCTTTTTTTAGCAGTATAATACCAAATGCTTTCCTCTTCTCCTTTTAACAGATCAAACAACGCTGGCAACTAAATAAACTGTCTGAGAGCCTTATACCACACCCATCCATCCACCCACCCATCCGTCTGTCTGTCCATCCATCCATCCCTGCATTTTACAAGTATTGTTTGAGTGAATGCTGGTTCTTTGCAGGACACTGCTAGGTTTTGAAAATTCAACTCTAAGCAAAAATCATTGTTACCTACTGTCAGAGAGCTTATAATCTTGTGAAAAGACAGAAAATGAGATGAGTTACATGCATGATAATGGATTTATGTACTAGGATCGCTAACATCTTAAGGACAGGAAAAGCTTTTTTGAGGAAGTAACATTTAAGATGAGACATAAATTAACCAGGTGAAGTAAGGGAAGTTACCTGAGTAGAAGGAATTGTATACAAAGAGGCCTAAAAACCTCTATCGCATTTCATGACTTTTGGTCTTTAGGTTTTCTCAAGACTAAGTAGAACATCAACTATGAGAAACATAACAGGAATATATACTGTAATGTGAGAAAGAACCGTCAAGAAGAAACCACAGTCCTAGGTATTTAGGAGGAAGAAATACTATCAGGTAAACTACATAAAAGGAAAATTATTTTAAACTTAGAGTTAGGTATATAAGGAGAGCTATTGAGGACTACATAGAATTATTTTAAATAAGATGTTTTTGGGGACTTAATATTTGTGTACTCCATGGGTTCTGAAGTATGCATCAAAAGAAGTAAGATGCACCTTGATTTTGAGAGTACTCATTAGAAGGAAATGATTTTGGTTTTACTTAGTAAGACTAGCTGGCCACAGAAACCTATAGATCCAAATTTCTTTTTTTTTTTTTTTTTTTTTTTTTTTTTTTTTTTTTTTTTTTTTTATTGCATTTTAGGTTTTGGGGTACATGTGATGAACATGCAAGATTGTTGCATAGGTACACACATGGCAGTGTGCTTTGCTGCCTTCCGTCCCCTCACCTGTATCTGTCATTTCTCCCCATGCTATCTCTTCCCACCTCCCCACCCCCCACCCCTCCCCCATTTCCCCCCAACAGACCCCAGTGTGTAGTGCTCCCCTCCCTGTGTCCATGTGTTCTCATTGTTCAACACCCGCCTATGAGCGAGAATATACGGTGTTTGATTTTCTGCTCTTGTGTCAGTTTGCTGAGAATGATGGTTTCCAGGTTCATCCATGTCCCTATAAAGGACGTGAACTCATCGTTTTTGATGGCTGCATAATATTCCATGGTGTATATGTACCACATTTTCCCTATCCAGTCTATCATCGTTGGGCATTTGGGTTGGTTCCAGGTCTTTGCTATTGTAAACAGTGCTGCAATGAACATTCGTGTGCATGTGTCCTTGTAGTAGAATGATTTATAATCCTTTGGATATATACCCAGTAATGGGATTGCTGGGTCAAATGGGATTTCTATTTTTAGGTCCTTAAAGCAGATCTACAAGAAAAAAACAAACAAGCCCATTCAAAAATGGGCAAAGGATATGAACAGATACTTTACAAAAGAAGACATACAGGAGGCCAACAAACATATGAAAAAATGCTCATCATCACTGGTCATCAGAGAAATGCAAATTAAAACCACACTGAGATACCATCTCACACCAGTTAGAATGGCGATCATTAAAAAATCTGGAAACAACAGATGCTGGAGAGGATGTGGAGAAATAGGAACACTTTTACACTGTTGGTGGGAATGTAAATTAATTCAACCATTGTGGAAGACAGTGTGGCAAATTTCTTTTAAAAGTAATGTCATGGGTCACATTTAGAGTTCAATTTGTAAATCAGGGTTATTGCTGTGGTTGCACTCAGTATCTAAAAACTTAGTGGGAAGTGCCTGGTTATTGTCATTAAAGAGGTCTAAAGGCGGTAGATCAAAGGTGGTTGAGAAACACGTATTATGGACGGAGTTCTGTTTCCTCTGTTGTATAGCACCTCAGGTCAAGCCTTTCTTCTCTCCCTTCCCTTCTGGCCAGGATGGCATCTGAACTCATAGAGGTACAATGTATGTTAAAGTCTTCAGATCATGACTATTGTGCTGGGATTTAGCTGTCTCCAAAGTCAGTTGTTATGGTCCATACTTTCCTTAAAACTTCAGTTGTTGAGGTCTGCTCTGCTGTTAGTAATCCCAGACTATAAGTATCCCCCATTGTGGGCCTAGATAAGCAGAAGCTGATAGACTCAGCTTATTTTCATGGATGACTGGAAAGAGCCAGGGCATTGAACATAAAAGGGAGAATAGTCATAACCTTTTATTGTTCAGGTTTAAGAAAGGCTAGCTAGAATGAAGCTATGCAAATGATACCAAATATGGTCTTCTACCAGAAATGGCCTTCCGCATATCTGCTTCCTGGCAGCAATGGATTTTTAGAAGATTTAGTTACCAAAAATTTAGTTGAAGGTTGTTTTAGAAAACAATAAATGCTTTTGGAGTGGAGTTTTAGTCCACACTGGCATAAAGATTATGGATGGAAGGAAAGATCAAGGAAGAAAGCCAGGGACCTCTGTAAAAGAGAGTACACTGGGTAATGTATAACCATACTTTTGAAAGAGAGTTCCCTGGTGGAGAGCAAGGTCTGAGGATAAGAAGTGTGTTCTTTTTGTGTACTCTGTGGGTTCTGAGGTATGTGTCAAGAGAAGTAAGATGCACCTTGATTTAGAGGAGGAAGGAAGGAAGGAAATGATTTAGGTTTCACTTAGTAAGACTAGTTGGCCACAGAAACATATAGATCCAAATGTCCTTTAAAAATCACGTCATGGGTCACATTAGTTAGTGTATTGGGAAAGCTACAGTCTTGGATGGTCCTGGAATGGAAACAAATCTGTAAAGTCATGGTCATGTCAATGGGCACACAGGAAATATCAAGGGCAGCTCTGGAAGACCTAGAGAGGCTCTTCATTCTAGCAGTTCAACAGTGGTTCAAAACATACAGTAAATCCACGAGCTCTAGAAACCCTACTAAATCAGCTAAGGGGTTTGCAAGAGTTCCCAGTATGAGGGAGGAATTGTGCTGTAAGACATTTTCTTTTACGACATGGGCCAGTAGCAAAATGGTTTGGGCTTCAAAAAACATGTACATGCCAAATTCTATGAAGAATAGTTACTGTCTTTAAAGTGTAAGTTTCTAGCATCAGGAACTTTCATTGAGTTTCTGTTGAATATGTATCTATGCAAGTTTATGAGTTCTGTGCTCCAGTCATATTCATTCATTTTTCCATTAGTTTACTTATTCATTTGGTTATTTATTTAACACATACTTATTTGGTCCTTGTTATGTCATTCATATAAAATATAATTGTGAATATAATCATGAATAAAATATCTACCTTGTTCTTTACCTCCAGCCCCTAGAAATTTTTACACAGGGTTATTTCAATCTAGCTGAAATTCTAAGCAATGTGTCATGTGTGATCAATGCAGAAAGATGGTGTCACACCCCTGGCATAGCTCACAGGTAAAGCCAGTGCCTCAGTTCTATGGCTGTATAATAAAACAACACAGGGCACAGTTGTATAATGATAACTACAAAAGTCCCCCATCTTTTTACTGTCTCAAAAAGTGAAGTACTCATCTAAGATGAGACCTATGAAGCATGTATGGGATACAGAGTTCCCCTTGATCATAAGGGTGGTCCACTGCACTATGAATTCTAGATCGGTTTAAATAGTATTTGCTAATCAAGTCTTTGCACAGGGAAGACCAATAGTCTCAACACAGAAACTGCAAAGATAACTCCCAAGAACTTGGCTTGTACCTGGAGAACAGTGTTGTTATTATTCATAAGGTGTGCCCAAGAGACTACAGAAGACTCTGTGTCAGTGGAAATCATATACATGTTGTGTGGCAAAAAAAAAAAAAAAAAAAACATGTCACTGGCTTCTTTAGTCTGTGTTTGTAAAACAAGTATGATATGGTGGAACTCAATAACAACAACAGGGATGTACTGAGATATGAGGCATGCAGCAGCATAGGAGCCTTAGGTCTGTGAATAGGACAGAAGCTGGGATCATGGGGAGATTGCTGCAGTTTAGTTCTGGATGTTCACAGGGTGATATCAAAAGCTACATGATAGGATTGCCAGATAAAATACAGGATGCTAGTTAAATGTGGATCTCAGATAAACAGAATATTTTTGTTTATACATATAAACATAAAATACACTTCTTTAAATACATATGCCCCATATGACAATTGTGACATACTAATCAAATAGTTATCATTTATTTGAAATTTAAATTTAACTGGGCATCCTATATTTCTATTTGCTAAATGTGACAACTCTGCATATAGAGGAGTTTAGAAGATGTGAGAAAGAATGGAAACTAGAGATCAGTGACTAAGGAAAAGAGAGGCAAATGTACTCACTAGGAAGATTAGATTCATTCTGCTGTAATGCATCTTTATAATTATATCAGAAATGTCGTGTGAGACATACTAATACAAAAAATTTTACTGTTTGTCTGAAAATGGAATTTAACTGGTATTCTGTATTTCATCCGGAATACAAATGAAATATAGCAGCCCTACCATGTGACTTTTGGTATCTTCCTGTGCACAACCGGAACTAAATCCTAACAGAAGTTACTGCTGACAGTATAGCCACATGGTTATTGTGAGGTAATTCGAAGGTATCACCTGAGATATTAAAGAGTAAACATGGGAGGGTTATATTTATTTCTGAGATGCTGTGGAAGCATTCAGTGCTCATTCCATTATATTCATCAGGCCTGATAATATATTCTCTTCTACTCTCTACAACTAAAGGAAGCAGGAGAGAAGTTGGAAATGTAACAGATGAAACTAAAAAAAAAAAAAAATTAAAGTAAGATTTTCCGCTTAAATATTAAAAGGTTCTAACTACTTAGGTAAACCTTTTTTTCTTCAATTATCTGTAGTACTTATTTTAATACTCTTATTTCCTTTAGAGATAAAATTAATGTGCTTTGCAAGTATTTATTTGGACCAACACGTATTTATGAAACACGTATTTTTGTTCTAGGACAAGGGTTGGCAGATGAGGGTGAATGAGGAGTAGGGACATGTCAAAGACATATTTTTAAAAATACCTTTTAAAAATTTATCTGGACAGTTTCAAACCAGAAGTGAAGGTTACACTTATTATCATAGAAACACATGCACACACACATACACTTGTGAATACACCATTGGTACAGACACAAAATCAACATTTCTTTTTAAAATCAGTAGCCAAACTTTGTAATACTGACTGTGACTGGTACACAATTTCAGGATAGGGGCATATTAGTATATATATGAATATGGCAAGTCAACTTAACAAAGATTATAAGGGACTCTAAATGTAGAGTCCCCTAAATGGGAGGGACTCTTAATGTAGAGGGAATCTTTTAAGTAGTTAGAAAATCATTTAAAAAGGCATAGAAGGAAAAATAAGCATATTATTAATAAAGGAAAAGAGAATACAAAGGTTGTCTAATAGTTTATGTTGAGAAGAAGAATTTTAAAATAAAGGATTATTAACTAGGACATGAAGCCACAAAAATGGAAAATTAGTCATAAGAAGTGGAATATGATGGGCTACACAGGGCAAGGCCATAGCAGTTTTTTTTGATAAGGAATTTTGCTCTTGAAGACCATGTTGGAGTGAACTGGCACAATTTCGGCTCACTGCAATCTTTGCCTCCTGGGTTCAAAGGATTCTCCTGCCTCAGCCTCCTCAGTAGTTAGGATTACAGGTGTCCACCACCAAGCTCGGGTAATTTTTTGTATTTTTAGTAAAGATGTGGTTTCACAACATTGGCCAGGTTGATCTTGAACCCCTGACCTCAGATGATCTACCCACACCAGCCTCCCAAAGTGCTGGGGTTACAGGCATGTACCGGTACACCCTGCCCATAGCATAATCTTGAATAAGGAGTTAAAATTTGTATGCTGCCTCATTTTTCATATACATTATCCCAAAATATTTATAGAAGTAGTAGTATGATCATCTCCACTTTAAGACAAGGAATTTAAAGTTTATGTTTTTCTACACTTAGAGAATTGACAAAATTTACAGGTGAACACAAACTAATACTCTGAATTTAGATCCGATACACTTTCACTATGGATCAGGAAAATGTAAGGTTTATGTAGCCATTTAACCTAGTGCCGTAATGGACCAGATAAAGAATATAACTGCAGTAAATACAAAGCACATTATATCAACCTCATCCATCTACTCAATCATTGCAAAAATTAATACTGTTCATCATGGGCCTATGTCTATGGCTTTTGTTAATAAAAATATATTATTTGAAGCTCCAATTTATTTTTTAAAGTTGTGAGGAAATCACTTTACAGATGTGATTAAAAACCTTCACCTGTGTTTAAATTTCCCTCAACATGCTCAACGAAAAAAGGGTATTTGGCATTTGTGTGTGTAAGTGTATATGTGTAAATGTTGGCTTTTCTTGAAAGTGTTGTTTACTGTGAGTCAACAACACATAAAGAGTTAGATAATGAGTAAATTTCCAGAAGGAGGCAAAATATGGTACATATACCCCATGGAATACTATGCAACCATAAAAAGGAACAGAATCATGTCCTTTGCAGAGATATGGATGGATCTGGAAGCCACTATCCTCAGCAGACAAACACAGGAACAGAAAACCAAACACCACATGTTCTTATAATTCAGAGCTGAACAATGAGAACACATGGACACAGGGAGGGGAGCAACACACACTGAGGTGTGGTAGGGGGTGCGGTGAGGGAGAGCATCAGGAAAACTAAGTAATGCATGCTGGCCTTAATACCTAGGTGATGGGTTAATAGATGCGGCAGACTACCATGGGACATGTTTATCTGTGTAACAAACCTGCATACCCTGTACCTGTATCACAGAACTTAAAATAGAATTTTTAAAAACAAAAAGAAATTATTAGAAAAGAATTCAGCTGTTGAGTCTCTTATTTTTACCAGTAAATGATACAACAAAATGGTCAGTGTCTCAGAGTTACAGATTGACTTTTAGACTTTACTGTAACAGGACCTGAGCTACCTTAATGGCCAAAAAGTCTCTGTCGATTCCAAAGAGACTCTTCGGAACACTTACGGATTCTCTCACATATGAAATTAGTTTAGCTGCTTGGATAGGTAGGCACAAATAACAGTAACACATAAGCTTGTCATCTGGAGTCAAACAAAGCTTTGAATCCTAGTTCTAAAACATGTTGGCTGTGTGCTCTTAGGCAGGGTACTTAACTTTTCTGAGTCCCTACCTCTCCACTTAGAAATAAAATTCTGTAAAATACACTTACATTGTATGGTTGTTGAAAGGACTAAATATGAAAATATATTAGTAATCCTTTTATTTTTATTCCAACTTTTATTTTCGGTTCAGGGGATACCTGTGCCAGTTTGTTATATGGGTAAATTGCATGTCACGGGAGTTTGGTGTACAGATTACTTTTTCACCCAGATAATAAGCATAATACATGACATGAAAAAAAGTGTCTGACACTTTAAAGAAACTGTTAGGAAGCATTTGAAGAAAGTCATATTGAAGCGTAATTCAATGTATATAGGTTCCATCTGAAGTCAGCGAAACCATTTGGTTGATAGCTAATTATTTTGAGAAATGAGGTCAACTTCAGGGTCTCTTATCATAAATTTGCTTTAGAAGAAATGTTACCGTAAACCATGCCCAGTGAGGGAATATGTCCACCTAATGTGTTAGATTTTGGAGTATTTCTGCAAACTATTTTTTATGTCTCATTTATCTGTATTTTCCTGGCTCCCAGAACAAGACTTAAGAGTGCAGGTAATTATAACATTGTGTTTGAATGAATCATCATGTTTTAGCTTTCCTGTTAGAATTAACAAATGCTTATTGAGTGATTGCTGACTGAGAATATGTAGTAAGAAATATACAAATGTTAAAAGGAGCCTATTTAGAAAAGACAGATAAATTTCATATGAATGTGCATGTATACATTGCATTCACTTGCTATATTTTGTTTTATGTTTTAATTGTCATAATTGTGTTAGATGATAGATAATGTTGAGATAAGAAGATAGATTAGATTGATAGGAAGGTAGGTGGCATCCAATTTTCTTTGTAAGTACATAGAATGAATTATCACAAAATGTTAAATTTACTCTGTTACCTTGGACATTTTCTTTCACTTCTCAGAAAATTGATTTGTAAAAGAGGCTAATAATATAACTTTGGGTTATAGGAAGATTTTTTAAAAGGTCAAAAACAAATACAAATATAATTGTTATTTAACTCCAAGGTGTAATCACTAAAAACATCACAAAGTCCACTTTGATACATGCAGACAGGCATACACAAACACAAACAACACACATATAAATCTCATATCTATCGCTCATCTCATATATATATATATATATATATATATATAAAATACATCTCAAATCAAGACTTTGATAAATCAAAAGCTGTACCCGTTGCTCTGGCTCTTTGATCTCTCTTCTTTTACGTAGTGGATGAAGTCTTACAGGATAAACCACTTCATACTTCTTCAAGCCAGGGAGTTCTTTTATAGCACTTACTGAGAGGAAAAAGAAAAAGATTTGTCCAGGTAGAACTGAAGTAGGCTGGTCATTAATGACCATCCTTACTGCATTCCCAATGAATGATGCTACATACAGAAGCCTGAAATGATGAATGTCAGAGTTATTAATGTGCTGACACCAAAAGAAAGCAACAAGATCAGAAACCTCTTTCCTCTTAATGCTTTACTTTAACCTATATCTGTATCTTGTGATGTTTCCCCGTTAAAAGTTTACAAGTGTCTATTTAGAGAAAGTATTTCTTTTGGATTTTTCCACTTCTCCTTACCTTTGATCCCTGTGGCACAGGGACTTAGCAGCAGCACAAGGCAAAAAGAATTAAAGACAGAAGCCAGCGTAATCCTCTGAGAAGCTAATCAGTCCCAGAAAAATTGAGTTGAAGCACTGGAAACCATACAATGTTAGAAAAATAAAATAACTAATGTACAAAATTTTTTATTTTTCTTGGATTTGAAAACAGCAATATTCTATACTAGTGAAAACAACTATGTCACAGTAAGAAAAGACTCCAATACTAGGTTTATAGAATGTGGTGGCATAAGCAATACAGATAAACCTTCATTTTACATACAAACATTTTAAGTAAAAATTAGAGAAGCAGGTAAATAGAATCACAGGCCCGGAAGGACTTTCTGAGCCTGCAGTCTCATTGAAAGAGAACTAAAAAGTGATTTGATCCAACCTATCTGCATCTTAAATGCTCCTCTCCATGTTGTTTTTAGAAGTCATTTTGTTTAATTTTATTTTGTTTTGAGACAAGGTCTCACTCTGCCACCAAGCTGGAATGCAGTGGTGCACACACGGCTCAATGCAGCCTCAACCTCCTGGGCTCAAGCCATCCTTCCAGCTCAGCCTCCAGAGATGCTGGGACTACAGGTATGCACCACCATGGCTGGCTAGTTTTTTTCTTTTTTTTTTTTTTTTTTTTTTTTTTCCTATTAGAGAAGAGGTCTCGCTGTGTTGTCCAGGCTGGTCTCAAACTCCCAGTCTCTAGCAATCCTCCTGGCTCAGCCTCCCAAAGTGCTGGGATGACAGGCATGAGCCACTGCCTCTGGCCTGGAAATCATTTTAGAGAGAGTTTTCAATTTTCTCAAGCCTAACTTTAGATTTTCTATTTTCTTTTTGATTTGCCCGTGTGGTCTCATCTCTGCTGTGTGTATAGTTAATAGACCTGCTTCTTAGATGCTGAAGGCGGGTGCAGGCTTAACCAGAGTGTAGACTGCAATAGCAGAATGGGGCCTAATTCAGCAACTTCCTAAGACTGGAACTGGAAATGTTTGATTCTGTTCTCTGGGCAAGGACTAGGAGGGTCTCTAAACATAATCCTGGCTCATTTAAGTACTAAAATTTAAGTTGCATGGTGAGAAACATTTATGTTACTTTGGTTGATCTTTTAACAAACACAACTGAGGCACTTAGTATTATTTATTGCTTACCTAGGAGGACTGTACACTTAGTCATGTCCCACAGAGCAAAACTCATTTTTTAAATTTTTTTAAAGAAACTAAAGCAGAAACTTTCCAAAAGTCTTAGTGTTGTTGATTTTTTAAAATCATTTGAGCATGACTTAAATTCATTTGACTACTTGAGTCATTTACATTTAACTTTGAAGAATAGAAAAAGGGTTTAAACTGGCTAATAACTCTCTGAGTCACAAATGGGGTGTAAAAATCATGAAAAAATATTTTCTTTCAGTGGCTTAAGAGTTACTCTAAAAAAAAATTCAAAATTACTTAAAGCCATGGCACTGACACTAGAATACCTTATTTTTTTATTTGGTTTGGGTGTTTAAATCATTTGAAAAAAGGAGGCTGATTAAATGGTTTCTCAAGCTACTTCAAGTGATTTATGCAAATAAATATAGAATTCCCTATAATATCTTTGGAGAGTCAGTTATCATTAATTATGAAAGATAAATTCTGATCCATTGTGATAAAATAAGCCTCATTACATTGTCACACTTCAAGAACATCACAGGGTTCTTCAGTTCCTCATTTCTTGCTCTCACAGAGGTAATCACTGGGTATCTTTTATTTCTATTAAGTTAACTTTTGGTAAAGGAAAACAATAACATCAGTTATAAAACATTTTCATAACTTAAGTTCAAAAACCCAAAGAAATATTAAATCAATCATTCTTTTTCTGAGTTAAAATGTTTGTAATCATTGTAATTATTTGGCAATAATAAGATGCCGAAAGGTAAGAAAATTACTCCTGCCAGAAATTAACTGATGATATTGACACAATCCCATGCTGCCTCCTTAATTCAGGGACACAGAACAAGCATACAATATGGCACCAACATGCTGCCTGGTGTATTACAGTAGTTAATCAATGCAATTAGTCTTGTTAAAATAGAGTTCTCGAAGACATTTCACCAATGTTGCAGCCAACATAAATCTTTTAAAATGCTATATAAGCACACACATGATTGTAACAGGAAATACTAGTCCAAGCTGCCTTCATGGAATAAAGTAATAGCTGCATTCCTGATTCTTTGTATAGAAGCAGAAAATGAAGTGAGTTTCCTTCTGAACACCATTCAGAAATGGTGAGAAGAAAAACAGGCCCATCTACACAACACAAATTTTCTCTCACATGCACACCGACCTCTATGCTTCTAGTTAGTATCTGAATTCTAATGTTTCATGAAATCAAAAATTACAATCTAGCTCTTAAATATGGGCTCAAAATACATAAGTTAGCTATAAAATTTATTTCCAGCTTTCCAGTGGCTGAACACTTCCAAATAGAAACCAAAAAGAAAGCAAAACAAAACAATAGCAACAAAAAACACACTTCTTTTCAATGTCTTTGGCAACCTCTCATTCTCTTCAATTTGAACTGAATGGATTTCCAGCTCTTCCCAAACTCTCGCAACACCATATGTTCTCTAAAGAAACCAAACAGAACTTCTCATAAAGGCTCTTATTTTCTGGAATCCTAGAAGTCCCTGAAATAATCGGATCTGGAATACAACAAATTACACAGACATCGTGGGGGTGTAACAGACCTAAATATTGTTTAGCTCACCCATCTTCAAGTTTAATGGAGATGGTGCAGCCTCATCCCCACTGAATATAAGGTTAATTATTTTGAAGCCTGAGAAACAAAACACAACTAACTGCCATCCAGGGATTACACAAATCCCAGGTATAACACAATGTTTCTCCTAATTCATTTTAATACTTCCCACAGAACTCACGCGCTGGATTAGTTTTTCTAGCAAAACCAGATCAGGAAAAAGAAAACTGTTATTTTGCTTTAGATTGGATAATTATTTTTGACTGGTTTGAGTTTTAGACAATTCAAAGCTCATTAACATTAACATGATAGACATTAGTCTGGATTGCTACATTATTTGTTCATGTGTTTGGGGTCATTTTGGAAAGGGGAACATTAGTATATAATATTGACACTTTCATTTTTGTTCAAATGTGTTTGAAACTGTTGAAAGGAATGTCTTCTTTCCAAATTGAACATATCACATTAAACCCTGAATTAGGATTTACATAAGGATATTAACTTACATTCTGGGATTGCCTGCATCTCCTCAAACCGTCTTGTGGTTTTAAAGTTCATACATTAAAAGTGAGTACAAACAAAAGAAAAACAATGCATCTTAATTAGGTCTATTATTTTGACTATTTAGATTGTATATTTTCATTTTAGTCTTCTACTCACCTTATAGAGGCAATAACTGATAGTTTGCAATAAAATAATTTCAAAAAATACTGTACCCCCTGGGTATTCTGCTGTAACATAGTAAGGACCTTTCTCGCCAGGCGCCGTGGCTCAAGCCTGTAATCCCAGCACTTTGGGAGGCCGAGGCGGGTGGATCATAAGGTCAAGAGACCGAGACCATCCTGGTCAACACGGTGAAAGCATCTCTACTAAAAATACAAAAAAATTAGCTGGGCATGATGGCACGTGCCTGTAATCCCAGCTACTCAGGAGGCTGAGGCAGGAGAATTGCCTGAACCCGGAAGGTGGAGGTTGCAGTGAGCCGAGATCGCGCCATTCATTGCACTCCAGCCTGGGTAGCAAGAGCAAAACTCCGTCTCAAAAAAAAAAAAAAAAAAAAAAAAAAAAGGACCTTTCTCCTTTATTGCTGTATTCATTTACATCTTCACCTCACAAACACCTGTCACATGCTTTTAAATATTTGTTTTTCCTTTTCATCGGATTAAATCCCGTAAGTCATTTTTTCTCAGGGGATTGTGAGGTTCACAGCAAACAACTGGCCTTATTTTATATCTGATTTTTTTATTTCAACCGTCTGGGAACTGGGCAGAAGTCATGCTCAGAGGGGAACATATGTATTGTTTCAATGATAGTGGCAGAGTACAAAGAAGACGAGGTGGGAAGTGAAAACTATTTTACTTCTTAGGTGCTGACTGAAAAGGCAACCCAAATGGGGATCATAACAGGGATAGTTGAGTGGCAAAAAGACACCCTTAATAATACAAGCTTGAAGTTAAAGGAGGGGTGACTTCACACTTTTAGGCATGAAGTCAGAAGAAGTTGCGTCTCTTGGTGCCCTGTTGTGCATGCACATTCGGGTAGCAGAATCAGTTGGTGTGCCCAATTACACGCAAGGGCTATAATGTGCACGGGCTCCAGTGTTAGCCATGTGACTCGGTTAGTGGATCCAGCTTGATCTTTTTACTCTTCACAAAGCTAGTGCCCAAGCAGTTCTTGTATTTCTGCCAAGAAGGGGTTCCAGAAAAGCTGTTGGTGATAGCATTTTTGGAGAATGGAGAGAAAAAAGATTTCTATTAAGTTTGACTCTAAAAGGAATTTCAGGTTAATTTTAAATGGCTAGCATCAGTTTTATATATATATATATATTTTTAATATTTCAAGCTCATTTTACCAAAAGAGAACTGGTATAATGTAATACCAGAAAAGACAGGTATCAAGGCAAAAGGCGTTAGAGATGAAGAAGATCACTGCACAGTGGTAAAACGTTCAGTTCAGATATACGTATATATTATAGAAAGCAAAATACATAGAAACAAGGAAAATAACCAAGTATTTACAGATATCAGGTTAGGTGAAATTTGTATAAGTCTTGAAAACAAATTAGAAACAAGTCAGAAGCAGGAAAATCATTTTTAGCAACGAAGTACTAAGCAGGTGAGTGGAGGAGGAACAGCTTTTCCTCCCAAAGCCTATACCTGTAGTTGATAATCTGGTCCAATTCCCAGATCTCAGCAAACATTCTAAGACCCGAAAACAGGTTTACTAGGGAAAGATTCGAAGCACTGCAGTTCATGGGCTGACTTAAATAAGCTCTGGAAATAGAAATAAGTTGAAGAATTATGATACCCAATCTAATTTAACCAAAATCTAATTACAGAATTTACCAGAAATTAAAAGACATGCTAGACATAATTCATTGTTAGGAAATAGTATATTTCTCCTTTTGAATTTTTTAATGTTTGATATAACCAGCAAAATAGAAGTAAGTTAACAATTTAAGCTTAACAGCAACATTGTTTTGTTAAGTAATATCACAATGCCTCATAAATAAAAAAAATCCATTTAGTCATATTTATTACTAATAATAAAATGGGTGTATATAAATATATGCACTCAAACAGAGCCAAACTGGCCCCCATAATAATTGCAGATATTTTCCTAAGCCTTCTACACAGCAATAGCCAAATCTGCCCCATCTTTATCATTCTGAAAATAACAAGCTAGTTCTGATGAAATCTACTTTTGCAGTCAAAAATCATATTCATGATTTAAATTATGCTGTATGAAATTGTCCCTTTTATTTCCATGTAATCTTGGATAAGATGCATACATACTGGTTCAAGACCTCTTGTTGCCTCTTTTTAACATTTTCTTTATATCACTCACACCCTCCAAACAACAGGTTAAAACCAGCCCAACTGGTTAGTAAAATTGTTTAAGAAAAAAGAAAAAAGTCAGAATATTTTATACAATAAAACTATGAGGAGATGATGAAAAAGTTCACTAATGTATTCAATAGAACCTGAAAAAGAGCTAAACACATACCTAGAACAGGAGAGAGGAGGAAACTGACTGTCAGGAGACCTTGCAACATGCTGGTTGATTCCAGTAGCACAGGGTCTGTTCTTGCTCAGATGGGTGCTGCTAGGTCTGTCCTGCCTCCTCTCCAGTGAGACTGAACGAAACTTCCTGGTTCATTCTTGTCTCTGATTCAGGAAGTATTTTCTAAAGGTGTTGCACAACCTCGAAGCTGTGGTCCTGCAACAATGGCATAGCAGGCGGAAGTCCTAGCCGCCTCCTGGCTCTAAGATTCTTTGATCTAAACTATTGTTTCAGTCTCCTCCATACCCCCCACTCCAAAGTAGTGTATTTCTTACATGTTACTATAGCCAAATAAGCTATAATAAAATAGGCAACTGCATTAATGAGTCCTGAAAAATATGCCAGGCATTTATCATTTTTACATTATAGATATTTAGATTATATATATATATATATATAGTGGTCAGAAAAACGTTATTAATGTTATTTTCCTCCTACATACATAATCTGGTTCTGTAAAGCAATTTCTAATTCAACCTAATTACTATATAACATTCTGTTTTCAATTATTTCTTGTTCTATTTTCACACAAGGGTGCTCTCAGGAAGCTTTATCCTGAAATAAGAATGTCTGACAGCGTAAGCACAAGACTTCTTAGATCCCTGGGGGTATTTGTATCATAACTGACAATTGGGAATGTGGACAAAGGATTCAAGATCCAAAGGATAAAATTTTTGGATCCGTTCCTGGTAGAAGAAAGGCTAGATTGGGTATGTCTAAAAATCACACTTGTAACCAGTAAAATAATATCAGTGGAGCTTCTTATTAAGTTTTGAGTACTGATATAGTTTGGTTGTGTCCCTACCAGAATCTCATCTTGAATTATAGTTCCCATAATCCCCATGGGTTGTGGGGGAGACCCAGTGGGAGGTAATTGAATCAAGGGGCCGGGCTTTTCCCCTGCTATTCTGTAGTTGGTGAATAAGTCTCACAAGATCCAATGATTTTATGAAGGGCAGTTCCCTTGCACATGCTCCTTTTGCCTGCCACCATGTAAGATGTCCCTTTGCCCCTTCACCTTCCACCATGATTGTGAGACCTTCCCAGCCACGTGAAACTGTGAGTCCATGAAACCTCTCTTTCTAAGTTAACCAGTCTTGGGTATTTCTTCATAACCTTATGAAAATGGACTAATACAGGTACTCTCCTAAATCTCCTGTTCTTGTTATTTTACACTCCTTATGATACTCGTGTATTACACATTTACAATCATTTTGTAGGTGAAAAATTGGGGTTCAAAAGGCAAAGGGATTCAAAAGATTAAGATTCAATTGTTCTCATTGTATAGATTAATAAGATTAAGCAGAAAAAATCACCTATCCAGTTACCGGTAGAAGTAGAATCTGAACTAGGTGTTGTCTTGGCTCTCAGTTATATAGTCTAATGCTTTCCCATGGCTTAGCTAACTCGTAATCCCAGTCTTACTTCTACTGATAAGATCCTATAGAATAAAAGTAACTATGGAATTCTTAAGGAATAGAAATAACATTGGAGACCAGTTATTACCACAAAACCTAGTCCTAGTCCACAAAAATCATGCATCATTTTACAGATTCTGAAGCATATTCTCATATTAGAGGGATCGCAGTGATGATTGATGTTTCTAAATGATCATAAAATCATCAACTAACCACAAGTAAATTTCTGCGTTATGGAGCATTTTAACCATCAGAATTGCAATTCACAGATTTCTTGCCTCTTCAACCCAAGTTCCATTGCATTGTCTTTTCCAGGGAACAGAAAGAATACTTTAACTTTTTATTACGTGTTTTTTTCCTCCCTTGATTCAATGTCATTTCACTTGTAGTGATTATGTGTCAGACACTGAGATTGCAGTTGAAAAAACACAGTTACGGCCAGTGTGGTAGCTCAAGCCTGTAATCCCAACACTTTGGGAGGCTGAGGTGGACAGATCACCTAAGGTCAGAGTTTGAGACCAGTCCTGGCCAACATGATGAAACCCCATCTGTACTAAAAATACAAAAATTAGCCAGGCATGGTGGTTGGTGCCTGTAATCTCAGTTATTCAGGAAGCTGAGGTAGGAGACTCGCTTGATTGCTTAATCCCAGGAGGCAGAGGCTGCAATGAGCTGAGGTTGCACCACCACACTTCAGCCTGGGCAACAGAGCAAGACACTATCTCAAACAAACAAAAATCAGAATCACTTTCTTTGAGATGTTTACAATCTGGTGAGAGAGGTAAGTTCAATCACCATAAAATTGTTCAGAGTGAATACTACCTATAAATTATCACAATACATTGTGTTTAATGTTCAGTATATTTGTCAATAGCAGTCAGAGGTCTACACCAAGCAGGGTGGGGAGTGCATCCTTGAGGCAGGAGTTCTGGGAGAAGGACTCCTTATTCCATTAATGGTGCTAGGATAGCTGGCTAGCCATATGCAGAAAAATAAAACTGGATCCCTACATTACACCATATATAAAAATTAACTCATGCATTAAAGATTTAAGTGTAAGTCCTCAAACTATGACAATCCTATTAAAAAAAAAAAAAAAACAAGGAAATTACATTATGGACATTGGCTCTGGGAAGGAATTTATGATTAAGTCCTCAAAAGCAATTGCAACAAAAACAAAAATGGACAAGTGGGGCCTAGTTAAAGAGCATCTGTATGGCAAAAAACTGTCATCACAGCAAACTAATAACCTATAGAATAGGAGAAAATATGGGCAAACTACACAGCTAACAGAAATCTAATATCCAGAATCTATAAGGAAGTGAAACAATTGAATAGCAAGAAACAACCCCATTAAAAAATGGGCAAAAGGTCAGGTACAGTGGCTTTTTTACCTGTAATCGTAGCACTCTGGGAGGCCAAGGCATGCAGATCACCTGAAGTCAGGAATTCGAGACCAGTCTGGTCAACATGGTGAAACCCTCTCGCTACTAAAAATACAAAAATTAGCCAGGTGTGGTGGCAGGCACCTGTAGTCCCAGCTACTTGGGAGGCTGTGGCAGGAGAATATCTTGAACCTGAGAGGAAGAGGTTGCAATGAACCAAGACTGCACTACCACACTCCTGCCTGAGTGACAGATCAAAGACTCTGTCCCCCTCCCCCAAAAAATGGGCACAACAAATGAACAGACACTTCTTAAGACATATAAGCAACTAACAAGCACGTGGAAAAATGCCAGACAAAACTAATTATCAGATAAATGCAAATCAAAACAACAATGAGCTCCATTTCACACCTGTCAGAATGGTGATTATTAGAAAGTCAAAAAACAACAAATGCTGGTGAGACTACAGAGAAAAGGAAACACTCAAACAATGTTGGTAGAAATGTAAATTAGTTACGATATGCTGGAAAGCAGTTTGGAGATTTCTCAAATTAAGATAGAACAGTCATTTGACCCAACAATCCCATTGCTGGATATATAGCCAAAATGAAATAAATTATTTTACCAAAAAAACACATGTACCAGTGTGTTCAATACAGTACTATACACAAGAGCAATGCATGGAATCAAGCTAGGTGTCCATTGATGGTGGAATGGATAAATAAAATGTGGTACGTATATACTGTGGAACACTATGCAGCTATAACAAATAATTAAATTATATTCTTTGAAGGAACATGGATCAGCTAGTCATTATCCTAAGCAAATTCATGCAGAAACAGAAAACCAAGTACTGCATGTTCTCGTGTGTACACATATAAACTAAATGTTGGGTACTCACGGACATAAAGATGACATCAGTAGACACTGGGGACTACTGGATAAGGGAGGGAAGACGGGAAAGGGCTGAAAAACTAGCTATTGGATACTATGCTTAGTACCTGGGTGGCAAGATTATTTGTGTCCCAAACCTCAGTGGTACAAATAATCACACAATATATCCATCTGGATATGTACCTCCCTGAATGTAAAAGTTGGAAAAAAAATATGAGAATAAGTAAAGATGATATGTTATAGCACATTAGTTTATGACTGGTAGTGTTTGGTTTTGTTGGAGCAAAGAACGTCTGGGAGAATGGGAAGGTATCTTGCAAGTATAAAAGTTCGTGCTTGACTTGAACCCTGTGGTGAATGGGCACCACTGATGAGATCTGATGAGAAGTAGTATAACTTACCTGCTTGCCTCTTTAGGAGAAGAGTGCATTGGAAATGGTGAATGATGACAGTCTGAAGGCTGATGCATGTGGCATTTTAAATTAGCAGTCGTTCTTCAGTTCTGTTCAATTCTCTTGTAGTCGTGGTGTGCCTTTGATCACAGGTTTTTCCAGTAATCATTCTCATAAGTTTTTATTATTCTTCATAGCCCAGTTATCTTTATAATGCCCTTTACTGTGAAAGAATTTATACCAGTCTCTAAATGAATTTTATTTTCTGCTTCCCTGGTTATTTCCTCAAAGATGCATCAAGCAAACATAAAAGTTGAATTTGAACAATCAGCTTAACTTTATCCTTTGTTCCTTTGTGTTAACTACAGCAGTATCGTTTATATCTTTAATTGTTATAACTTGTCAAACTTTTTGCCAGAATATAAAACATAAATGGCAGAGAGAAGACCTACAGAGTGAAAAAACATATATTTCATTGTATAATACACTCAGAGGGGTACAGTAAAATGGGAAAAAGCATAAGCTAGCACTCAAAATCTGTGCTAAAACATATATCAGCAATGTTCTCTCTATATAATAAATTACAGGAATAATGAATGCATATATACATATCATTACTATTGTCACACACACACACACACACACACAGTCATGGATCACTTAATGGAATACAGTCTGAAAAATGTGTCATTAGGCGATTTTGTTGGTTTGTGTTACAGTATATTTATACAAACCTAGAGTAGACTACAACACAACTAGGCTGTATGGTATAGCCTCTTGTTCCTAGGCTACAAACCTGTGTAGCATGTTACTATGCTGTATACTGTAGGCAGTTGTAATACAATGGTAATTATTGTATAACTAAACCTATCTAAATGTAGAAATGATACACAATATTATAATCTTATAGGACCATATCATGCATGCATTCCATCAATGACTGAAATGTCCTTTATGTGATACATAACTGT